AAGACTTTTGACTACAATTTTAATCTGAATAAATTTTGATTCATATAACCCAGAGTAACAAGGCCATACCATGCTTGAAAATATATTATGTTTATTAAAAATTTGTTCTGTTTCAGAAAAACCTTGAAACAAATATGAATTAATATTGGCAGTCCTGTTAATAGTGTCCTGCAGTTTAACAAAAAGTGGATGGTTACTAATGGAGAGCAACCTTGTAAAATTTTTATTGTAAGTATTTAAACCTAAGTGCTAATGGAGTTATATTACATTCCACTTGCATTCACACTATGGGAGTAGTTCGCATGGCACCCATTATAATATGCAAACATTTATTCTGTATCTTTTCTAATTTGTCTACTATAGTTCTTACCCCTGCAAAACAAAAAAAAGCATATTCAAAATGACTCCCTACTAATGATTTATACAATGTTAATAGAATAGATGGATCAGCACCCCAATATGTGCTTGTTAAAGATTTTAAAACATTACAAGCATTTAAAGCTCGAGATTCTAGAGTTTCAGCATACTTATTCCATCTAGAATTGTTTGTAAAAATAACTCCTAAAAACTTTACAGAGCTCTCTACAGATGTTACATTATTATTGAACAGAATATTTACATTCCTATTTCTGATTCCATTTTTTGAAAAGACAACAACTTTACTTTTTTCATTGCTAACCTCCAGCCCAAGGCTATCAAATTAGTTCTTTAGTCTTTGGAGAGCAACATTGAGGACTGATTGTACATGTAAAAAATTTGTATCAGAGCAATAAACAACTAAATCATCTGCAAACTGCAGACCCCAGAGTTAAATTTAGCTGATGTATGAATAGGATAAAAAGCAATGGGTTCTAATATCTTGGACCAAATAACTGACTGTAAACCTTAACAAACACCTTTCTGTAGTTCAAAAAATTAAAAATCCAATTTACAATTTTTCCAGGTACCTGTAATAATAATAATATTGAGGATAATTTGTTCAGATCTACATTATTGAAAGCCCCTACAATGTCAAGAAAAACACCAACTATTCTCAATGACGAAATGACATAGACTCTCACAAGCAGAACGGCCACAACGAAAGCCAAACTGATTGTAAGGTAAAAGATTATTACTTTCTATGTGAAAAATTTATCTCTGTTTTATTAATTGTTCGAAATTTTTTCCAACACATGACTCAGTGTAATAGGACGATAAGAATCAGCCAAATTAAAGTCTTTGCCAGGTTTTAATATTGGTACCAAACAGTCAGTTTTCCAATCCTCTGGGATAATAGAAGACGACCATAAACTATTTAATAAACTTAAAAAAATAGAGTTGGAACATTTAAAAGTTCAAACATTCTGTAGGAAAGCCAATCCAGGCCACATGAAGAATCTTTCCTTGAGGCTAAAGCAGATTTTAACTCTTGCATAATAAAACAACCAATCATGTATGAATTATCACTATTTACTCCAAGAACATTATCTATACTTATCTGTTGTGAAACAGGATCCGGTGTGTATTTATATAAAAATGTTTGAACCCAATTGAGGTCAGAAAATAAGTTAGAACACGGAAAGCTTTTTTGAATTTTCTTATTTGAGTCCAAATGCGATTTATAGATGTCAAACGATTTATTGATGAGCAGAATTCAGACCAACTTTTACAACGTTCTTCTTTTAAAGTGCGTTTTTTAAAGGCTTGTGCGCGTTTGAAATTAATGTAATTTTTACTATTAAGACTAGTTTTGATATTAATGTAGGCGTTCTTGCAGTCTTCTACTACTTTTGAACATTTATCATTCCACCAAGGTACTTGACACCTTTTTCTAGGGCGGTTATTATTACTATCAGTTGTGTTATGGTCTAAGCTGGGCCCGGAGAATTTGATTGCCAATAGAATAATTGCACAAAACTTTCTGTATGAGTCAAAGGAGATCACATTTTTTTATTAACATTTTATTAACAATTTATTGATAACTATCCCAATTTACTAATTTCAGATTGCTGCGAAGAGGAATGTTGTTCAAGGAAATAAAGGGTTCATGTTGATCTTTTACGAGAGTAAATTTTGTGATAGTTGGCAGATGATAACTGCCTAAAGGGTCCTGATGAACTTGCCAGTCACAAGAAAGAAATAGAGAAGAAGACACCATATTTAAATCTAGACTGTTTGGCTTCCAAATATGAGGGCCAATCGTTGTTGGTTGACCATTATTTAGAAGTATTAAGTAATGGTCATCCATGGAATCCATAATAGCTTTGCCCCGAGAATCTATGCGACTGCAACCCCAAAAAGTATGATGGGCGTTAAAATAGCCTGCAATTATCACCGGTTCGCCTTTTCAAAAGCAGGAAAACTATTACCAGGACTGTAAAAAATAACCAAAAAAATGCATTTATGTTTCAGTTTAATAACAATTACTACATTTTGAAACGAATCATCATAAAAAGTATCTAGTTTAGAGAAATGTATATCATTTTTAATTAATATTGCTACGCCATTATGATCATTACCGCAGTCATTCCTAATAATGGTATAACCACGTAACTTAAATTGAATATTAGAGTTGAGCCAAGTTTCTGAAATAAGAGCTATGTACATGTATATTATTTTGGTATAAAAAAATTTTGAAACTCAAGTATCTATTAGTTAACAGACTGAGTGTTCCACTGTATAATATTTAAGATTTGGTGGTTGAATGTGACGATTTGCTATTTTTATCCTGTATAGTGTATGGTTTCTTTAATATCTGAGCTAATAAATTGTGAACTAATACTTATATTTTGAGTTTTATTTAAAGTTATAACTTTTACTATAGATTCTGTTAATGGGAGTCATTGCTTCAGAGTTTGATATTGTGAATGTGATAATAAAGTAGTGCTTGGATTACTTTTTGGATATTTAATTTTTTATTAAGGGAAAATTTAATGAATATTTTAACGTGTCAGCATATGACTTGGGTTTACTGTTTGCGATTTTCTTTTGCCTTATAGGGCACTGGCTTGAGATGGCAATGTGATTGCCATTACAATTAATGCACTTAGCTTTTTCAATGTTAATCTTGCATTCTTTGAAAGAATGCCCCTCTGTGCATATAGAGCATCGCGGTGAATTTTTACAAAACTTAGCCAGATGATCATAGCGTAAACATTTAAAACACTGTTTTATAGGTGGGACATGTGTGGAGACAGGCAGGCGCCACATCTTAATGTGAACATAGTCCGGCAGTGACGTAGCAGACGCAAAAGTTATTACTACGCTCTGAGTAGGTTGCAGTGTGATGGTGTTATTTTCTCTTCTTACTTTAAGCATTATGCGTTGGACAGAAATAACCTTTTTCTGTTGTTGATATTGCTTTATAAATTTTGTGATTGGATAGATGAGTGGGAACCGAAGAGATAACTCCCGATAGTTCAGTGGCCCCTGCTGGTATCGAAGCTTTAAGTCGTTGTTCCTTTAGATATGTAGTATTTTCTAAAAAGGCATTTGCCAAATTCGCACGTTGGAAAACAACACCGACTTTATATTTATTAATTTTTTAAAATATTGTATACCTTTCACAGAGCGTATAAAACTAGTACTAAGCGACATCATGTCCCTATTACCGAGTGGGACATCATTAGTACTTTCGACAAATACTATGAATTCAGATTTGGCTTTCACATCTTCAGGGTATCGCCGACAATAATCAGCGACCCTAAAGGGAGCGAAGGCATTTGCATCCTGCAATACTGGCGAATCCTCGCAATCGGAATCACTGCTTGTGCTGAAAAGCAAGGACTCACCCGAATCCTTCTTTTTACGTTTTTTCATCATCTCTCCACATATACACTTATATACAGATTAAGTTTTACTTCTTTACAATAAACTAAACAAAATTTGCCAATTATAATATAAAACTATTTAAAATAATTGAAATTTTCAAAAAGCCCTCGTCAACGTGTCAATTCCTGCTCTCGAAAACTCACCACAATCGCCGACATCTTAGTTGTCTGTCAAAATAGAATCCATGACTGACATTGACATATTTTGACCGGTAGTACAGTTAAGGACTTTGGACTTTTATTTACATTTTATACATTTTGTAATCGATATTTAAATTAAGCAATTCTAACTTTCCTAATCGTGTGCTTATACTTTAAATCATTATGTCGATCCTTGCGAAAACATTGACTTTTGGAAATATTTACAAACTCGCACCCGGTAAGCATCTAAATAAAAACTTTTTGGAAAAATAAGCTTATATCTACTTCGAATTGTGTTATATATCCTTAAGAAAGTAATATGAATTACATATAGGTACAATGTTCTAAAATAGTTTGCAACTTACGTAAAATCATTGTGAAACAAAATTTCAAATACAGTGTAAACTCCATGTAACGTCACTCGATTTAACGACAAACTGTCTACCATACAATGATACACTCTACATAGCATCATACCCACTTTCAATAACGACAACAATTAAGTAATAAAAAGTACCTTTTAAGTTGCTAAAATTAGTAAAAACTCCGCAGCTGTGTACGTTCTTTTGTCGCTTTGTTATCCTAGCCTGCAATAAACTCGACTGTCGGAATCATTCATACCGAACTTTCTAAGAAATTCGTTCTTTTGTTTACAAATTGGGATAGCTTACACGTGTCGACGGTTTTTGACCAAAGTAGGAGTCTTGGATTACCTATACGTTATCATATTCTCAGTTGCACACAAAATCTCAAACTGTAAACATGGCTAGTAAAAGAAAATCACTGGGTGTTGACGAAAAAGTTTTACTGATACGCGCAATAGAAGCGGGAGAGAAGATAAGCGCTGTTGGCAAACGCTTTGGATTTAGTCGCTCTACCGTGGGTACGATATGGAAAAATAAAGAAAAAATTCTCCAAGCTGAGGGCGAGGGGAGATCTTCCAAAAAATTAAAGAGACCTAAATACGAAGATTTGGATCAAGCTATACTATCATGGTATCACGACCAGTGCCAAAATAATATACCTATCTCGGGGCCCCTTGTGAAAGCTATGGCGAAGAATTTTGCTGAAGAACTTGGATTAACTTCTTTTAAAGCATCGGAAGGATGGCTCGGAAAATTCAAGCAACGTCATCATATCAACAATGGTAAAATTAGTGGGGAAGCATGAAGCGTTGATACGAATTAAAATTAAAATACTATTTAACAACAACTCTCTATAACGCCATAAAATGCATGGTCCCTTCAGTGTCATTATATAGAGTTTACACTGTATAAAATTTCAGGTGTGCTATCCAGATTATACTCGAGCGAGGTACCACAATTTGAAACTCTAGCCATCACGGTGCCAAAAAAACATGTTTTTCATGTCGAACTAAACCGACCTAAGCAACTCAATAGTATTACTACTTTGATGTGGAAGTAAGTTTTTGTTGTATATGTAAATAAACTTATTATTTAAATATTTATATTCAGAATCTATTACCTACAGTTACTTTACATATAGCTATTTATAATTCTAGATGATTATGAGATTTAAAATTGTAGTACTTGTGATACATATTGAGTATAATATTCAAAAACTTTTATATATGTGTTTTTTATTAATTCCAGAGAGCTAAAGGATTGCTTCGAGTCCCTTAATGATAATTCAGAATGCCGTGTAATATTACTGTCTGCTAGAGGAAAACATTTTACTGCGGGTAATTATAAAATCAATTCTAGTATAATTTACCACTACTATTATTAATAGTGTAGTTTAGGTCAATGGCTTTTACAGAGATTATAGCAAACAGATAGACGGATAAACAAATGTGTTTAAAAGTCATAGTTTCATAATTTTGATGAATACATAAATGTGTTTAGAGACGATTCATGAGTAGAAATTATATTCATTTAATTACTAGATCTGTGAATATTGTATTCATATATTATAATATACATATAATATATATGCAATATACACACATATATATATATATATATATATATATATATATATATATATTGTATTATATATATATATATATATATACAGGGTGACTGGTGAATTACTATCAATATTTAAGGAGCATACTCGGTACATGATTCTCATTCGAATTATGTAAAAAAAAATAGGTACTTAATTTTTGACCAAATTTCCGTATAAATAAATGAAGTGTGTACACGTTCCAAGTGTTCCAAGTGTGAACGCGTGCCGCGGCGTGCTGATACAACAACACGCCGCCGCGCGCGTATGTGTGTGTGTACCTAATACCCAATCTGTAGGGTGTTCATACGATGCGTAATTAATTACATAACTTTTGGTTAACTTTACTTAGAAGTTTATTAATATTTATGTTATATTAATTTTTATTTTGTCATATATGATCGTCAAATATCACGTCCTCAAATATCGATAGTAATTCACCAGTCACCCTGTATATATGTATATATATTGTATTATATATATATATATATATATATATATATATATATATATATATATATATATATATATTATTATTTCTATGTACATTTAAATAAACTTAATAATTTCAGGTATTGACTTCAATAGTCTCATGCAAGATAGTTCAAAGGCTGAGGAATACGAAGATGTTGCAAGAAAAGCTAAAATACTTGAAAAGTTAATAACACACTGTCAGGTAGTTAGAATTTATTATTTCATTAAATATTTTTATTAACTAGTCTTTTAGCAAATATTATAAAATTATCGCCATCATGTCAACTATTTGACATTAGACATTAAACTACTTTTAGAATTATGTAGCTATTAATACTTTTTGAATTTTAATATCTTTATAAATTAATAAACCTATAGGAATTGGTGATTTTAATTTTTTTTATAGTATGTATAAAATGTTTCATATGTGTATTAAAAAGAACATACATACCATATGTACTAGCCTTATATTAAGTCACAGTTTATAAATCAATTCAAATAGCTTTAGATATTCATTAGTGTGTAATTAGCCTTATAATCTGTGTATAATTTACACACATATGTACTGGCCTAATATAAACATCACTTTATAAATCATTAGTGTGTACTCAGCCTTATAATAACAAAACTATATAACGATTTGCCAAACTACATCAAAGAATGTAAATGTTTAATTGCTTTTAAAAATGAACTTAAAATATATAAGACAATATTAAGTAGTACTACCCTTTCCATGTATCAAATATTCATGTATGTGTGTAACATTATTTAATCATGTTATTATGAGAATAAAGATATTTAAGTTATTTTAATTTTATTCCAGGATGGTATAACATCGTTGGAGCGTTGCAATAAACCTATACTCGCTGTAGTACATAGTGCATGTGTGGGTGCCGGAGTGGATTTAATTACTGCGGCAGATGTCAGGTTTGTATTGAATGATAAACCATGTGTGTGTGTGTGTGTGTGTATGTATGTGTGTATAAATGGTTTGTATTGAATGATAATGATCCATAAGTGTGTGTGTGTATGTCTGTGTGTGTGTGTGTAACTTTATGACTGTGTGTATGTGTGAGTGTGTGTATGTGTTATTAAATTTAAGAATTTTGGTAGATTGTAAAAAAATATATATATGTTTTAGAATGTAAGCTGGATTAGATGGTTGAATAGTTTGAAAGTATTTTATTGTACATTCTTATTTAATGAAAAAATTAGTTTATGGTGGCATTAAATGTCAATACAATAACAACCTTACGTTTGAATTAAAAATTATAACATATACCCACAGAAGAAGTGAAACTTCGTAATGTGGATATAAAAGTAGGAAAGGGTAGAATACAATTTTTAATGAACTCATTTTATTTCTTTAACACAAACTTTATAAGCATTGCTTACAATTCAGCATTAACCCACCCTTATTCTCACTCCGATTCTTTCTATTCCCTCTCCAGGAAAACGTTAAACGTTTAACGCAACCTTGTTAAAGCGTTAGAAATGTCACTTCAAAAAACATTACAAACCTGCTTACAACCATAGTGATATAAGTCCCATTTACTTCATTGATGATGCTATTATATGTAATATTTAATCATTGATACATATAATATGCTATATTTTATATACGTTATGTTTATATTTTCCAGATATTGCACAAAAGATGCCTGGTTTCAAGTTAAGGAAGTGGATGTTGGCTTAGCGGCTGATGTTGGAACTTTACAGAGATTACCTAAGGTACAGATATACATATTATATTAAGATTTTTATTACATAGTCAATCTCCTTTTAGATATAATGATTGATAATATGGATTTTAAAATCAAATCAGATTACTTAAAGTATTACTAAATCAATAAGGAAAGGAGTTAAATATATTATATACTAGCTTTCCGCCCGCAGCTTCGCCCGCTTGGAGTTCGGTTATATCGCGTTTCCAAGAGAACCTTTCAAAAGTCTGGGATAAAAACTATCCTATGTTCTTTCTCAAGGTCAACTCTACATCTGTACCAAATTTCATTAAAATCAGTTAAGTGGTTTAGGCGTGAAAGCGTAACAGACAGACAGACAGAGTTACTTTCGCATTTATAATATTAGTAGGGATTGATAAATCTACTAATTAATATGCTGAACCAGTTCAATGAAACAAATATTTTCGTACATTACGTGTGTTTTATTATTTTAACCAACATACTTCTAACGTTTCGGTTAGTTTGCAGCAACCGTGATCATTAAGACGAGATGAAATACTTTAAATAATTTTAGTTTTATTTAAATGAATACTAGCGAAAGTCTTAGATATTATTATACTGAATCAGTTATATATTTTTTAATAAATTTTAATATAACGTTACAGGTAGTCGGCAACACATCAACCGTAAGAGAACTCTGTTTTACTGCTAGAAAATTTGATTCGCAAGAAGCAAGCGAACTCGGCTTAGTTAGCAGAGTGTATTCTGATCAAGAAAGGTAAGAATTAAATTATATAATATCTAATATATAAAATTCTCGTGTCAGTGTTAGTTTCCTTACTCCTCCGAAACGGCTGGACCGATTTTGATGAAAATTTGTGTGCATATTGAGTAGGTCTGTGAATCGGCTAACATCTATTTTTCAAATCCCTAAGTCATAAGGGTTATTCACCCTTAAATATACATATATATATATATATTTTCTTAATTTATACAAAAGGTTTTGTTTTTATTTTTTTATCATGTCGTATAAGAAAATGCATACTACCCAAAATTTTTACTTTTTTATCACCAACCCCTACTTTTGATACGTCAAAACAACGTTTGCCGGCTCAGCTAGTATATACATATATACCTTCAATTTATAAGAATGTATAATATTTATAAACTATTCTTTATATTTCCAGTGCAATCAAGAATGTTCTAGAAACAGCAGTTACTATAGCTTCAAAGAGTCCCGTAGCGGTTCAAAATACCAAGAAATCGCTGGTATACTCGCAGAGTAGACCAAATGAAGTCGGGCTAGAACATATTGTGAGTGTTTATGATAATTATTTTAATTTAAAGCAGTTGTTTCCTATATAAATAAACCGGTCTACTGAAAAGACCGACGGTCTACTCAGTAGACCTTAACTATTTTCATTCTTATAAATCATATTTATAAATAAGTTTACTTGAAATACTAAAATATATGTTTTTTCCATTACAGAAATTAATAAATCAAGCTATGTTACAAAGCGAAGATTTGAAGAAGGCGGCCATCGCACAAGCAACTAAATCAACTACTGAATATGAAAATCTATAATAAGTTATACAATGTAAAATATATCCTATTTATAATAGCTTTAAGGAATAATATTAGTTTTTTTTAATATCCTTAAATGTGAATTTTACTTACAATAAAGTTATTATATATGTAATAATGTACTGTCTTAAATTCATTCCCTAAGTACGAAAAAAATAATAATTAGTTTTTAAATCTTTAAGATCTTTAGAATTAATATCCATTTATCAAAATTATCGAAACAAGTGGTTATTGTTTAAAACTAGTTTTGATATATCATTACTACATGTTAAAGAAATGTACTCATTAAAAAAAGATATCTTTAAATAAAAATAATTTACGAACAAAGAGATTAATAACACATAATTTCGTATAAAGTCTTTGTATACCATTTACTTTTTATAATCATCGGTCATATAAATTAGTTAAAAGCAAGATTTTAATTGTTATAATTATACGCATAAACCACAATTACCATTGAACAAAATTTGCTTACGTAGTAGGTGTATACAATCAATAAAAGTATTTGTGTCACTGACCTACATTTCTATCATTTAACACACGTTAACACAATTATAAATATATGTATTAATAAAGAAATCATTCAAAACTAGTTAATTTCATAAACCAAATGTAACTTCTCATATATATTTTTTCCAATCTCCATGTTTAAACTTTCTCTAATACAAACTTAAAATCTTAACAATGGCGTCTATAATATAAATTCGAATTTCGAACTGACGTCACCGATTGCCATGACGTCACAGCAATTCTAACAACTATGGGAAATCAGGTTACCTACTTTACGGAGGCTTGCATTTACGTACGTATGACCTGCCCAAATATAGAGCAGATATAAATAGACTTGGGCTGTGAATGCAAGCCTGCAACTGGGTTACACACACTGCAATGATTTGACCTATATATTTTTCAATGGTCGTCGCATGAACGGGAAGCTAGGACGGCTCTTCATTCAGTAACACTTGGAGTCCCGAGGCTAACGTGACCTAGTTAACGCTCTCTACCGGTTTGATATATAAAAAATACATTATTGAGACGTTATACAGTGAGATTTCGTGATCGGGGACTACAGTTTTCGCTTTTGAATGTAGTGTTTTTCTTTATAACAAAAACTACTTGAGAGTATGTGAAAAACCATGAAAACGATATAAAACATTTAAATAACCCGCTTCTTGAACATTTTCTGTGAATGTAATCGGCATTGGTCTTGAAGTGAATGGTGTGCTGTGATTGGTCGATATTCGTGAAGTGACTTTTCCGACCAATGAGATAGCTCGCCTTGTAGTCGCCATACCACCCAAGCGCCACCTGTCGCTCGAACTCGACGCATTCATTGAAAACCCGCCCGGAGTGTTTTATTAACGCAGGCGCATTGAGGCCCGACAAAGGGCCGAAATAAAAACGGTTTGGAAGTGAAACTGATGTATTTATGTCTTAAAAATGGTGAAATCTGTGAAGTGGCGAGTAGAAATTAGGATATTCGACGTGTCGAATCATGACCGAGGCATCTGAAAAGTAAGTGATGTCTCTGTAACATTGTATGTGAAAGACGTGTTTCGCCCTGCACTAGGTAGGAAGGGCCTACCCCGGCCATTTTCTGAGCTAAGTCTACATATTATGAGGTTTTTGGCGATTTCTGGAGCTCAATATTCCACAAATAAGCTCCAACGGGAGTGTTTGAGGCAGTAACATGTTGTAATTCGTGTTATACATACGACCGCCGCCCTTGGGTCGCCCTGGTGTATAGGTATAATCAATGAATTGCTGTTCATTCACAATAAACTACATAGCTCCTTTCGGGGTCATTTAAAGCTATCTCATGCTGTCGCTCAATGAAATATAAAGGCGTTTACAAAACGATTGCAGTATTGTATGAATGAAACTAATGTTGCTACAATATGATAAATGGTAGTTTATTTAATATATATTTATATAAATGCAATTGCAAATTAACAATTTAATAATCATTTATAAATTAATTAATTGAATAAAAATTTCTTAGTTTATGGATATTTATTAACAATTGATGAGCTATGAAATAATTAAAAATCTTTATAATACAAAAAATAAATACTTAATATATCTACTACTACTTAAAATTTAATAATTTATATTAATCAATTTTAATTTAATTGATTTAAAAGGAGTCAAAAATATCATCCAAAAAAATGACTAATTCTCAATTTGTGAGAATATACCTATTATATTTAGTCCATTCATTCTATTTTTACACTTTTTCAGTTAGTTTATTATTGATTATTTATTTTTAATATTACAAAACATTATTAACATATTAAAGAAAAACAAATTAAGTCTTCATTTGATCAATTTATGATATATCATTATTTTATCAATAAACAGTATTCGGACCCACATACAATTTTATGTTTTTATAATTTCTTGGATAACATAAATAAATATATTTATATGAAAAATTAGAGAATTTGTGTTCTACTATTATTAATATACATATAGTATAAGAAAACATTATAGGAGCACTTAAATTTCCAAATTCTTATGGTCATTTAGACTCTAAAGTCTAACAAATTGAATATCTATATGACATATACCCAATGATACATTTAAATGTAACAATTTTAAGTATTTTCATTTATAACTCATACTTATCATATATATCAGAGCCGCTGCTGAGAGGCCTCTTCTCACATGGAGAAGGTTTGAGCATTAATCACCACGCTTGACCACGGCGGGTTGGTGATTATTATTGTGTATATGTATAACAAATTAATTAATAATTATATATAATAAAAGCACTTATATTTAAAATATATATATTTCAGTTGTTTAATAATATTTTTATACTAGGTTCTTATTCTGTCTTTGGTTGAAAATTCTTTTTGCATCACAAATATTAATCGAGACAAATTTCGTTACTTTCTATATTTTATATATATATACTTAATTTAAATTGCCATATATGTATATATATCTTACATACATATGTACCTATGTATGAATATTTTCTATCATCAAATTATTATTACAATTTCATTATTAACTAAGAAATCATCTATAAAAACAGCTCTTTGCTTCAAGTTTTGTAATATATTTATGTTTTATAAATGCGAATGTATTTGTTATAACTTTTATATCTTAATAATGTGTTCTAAATAAATAAAACTATTCTAGTACATGTATATATAAAATATAAATTTAATTTTTAACTTGAATTTCATATAATACAAATTGTTTTCAACTGTGAACACAGCCGATGTGGCTATTTAAGATATTTGATACTTCCTTTGCCACGTTAATTACGTTGCACGAATTGAGCTAAGTGGTTGATGACGTCCTCAGTATATATACTAAATAATACTCGGAAACTCTAAAATTATTATTTAACAAAACATATTTCCGCTTATAAATATATGTTTAATGTTGATAGTTTAAAAATCTTTTGTATTATGTAAATTTTTAATGCGAATGTTTCGTAGTTATTTGTAACACTGATTTGAACAAAAAGACATACAAAAAGAAAGATATACCTTGCTGTGGCAATCATGTTGAGTGAAAATGAAAAATATGGTAAAATTATTAAGAAACTTATGAAATACTGTTTAGTTTTCATATTCATAATATTTTTTAAACATAATTGATGTATAAATGAATGTATTTTTTGGGTAAAAATATCCCATAGTTATGTTTAAGCAAGGTTTCTTTATATTAATTTCGTGTGGTTTATAAAATATTAAGAAAAATTTTAATATTACGTCAAAATTTAACGATTAATGGTTCATGAAAAAATGACTTTATTAGCCTGCACACATTTATAAAATCAAAACCAATTCAGTAGTTTTATAATAAACTAGATTATATATATATTATATAAAATTAATTAATCTTTAACTTATAATTTAAACCACCAAATATTAAACTTGAATTTCAAAACTTCAAAAACTACATCAATTCATCTAATTTACCCCTACCATTATACAGTGTCGAAATAAACGACAGCGAAAAGCGTTTCATTCATAAAACTACATACATTGATAACATCATGTGAGAAGTTTTGTGAATGGAAAAACTGTTTGTGTTTGTGTTTTTGTGAAAAACTGTGAAGACCGGTGGTAGGGGCACTTATACTAGAATCTAACAACATATATATATATATATGTATATATACTAGAAAAGATTTAATAGTTGATATTTGAAAAATCTAAGGCAGATTTTTTTTTTCTAAGAGTCAGTGGTGGCCTAGTGGTTAAAAGGCCTTTCATGCTTCAGGGCGCGGGTTCGATCCTGGCAAGTACCAATGTGATTTTTCTGAGTCATATGTACTTTGTAAGAGTATTTAGATATCACTGGTTAATGCATTTCCAAAGAGGGTTGATGTCAGGCAGGCGGCCGGTCGTAAAAAACAATTAGCCAAAACTATTCACAACATGTAAGGCAGACCCTGGCTAAAGCTGGGACAGTTGCCAGGTAGAAGAAGATTTGAAAAATCTAAGATTTAATTCATTTAATAAATGTTTTACTTCCTAACAGTCGGTTTAAATGTATTTGTATACCAATTTCGCGTATTCTTTAAAGAAGCAACAAGTGTTTGATTTACGTAAACTCACTTTGAGTACAAAAAAAATTCATAGTTAATTAATCCAGTACGAATTGCAGGTTTTTAAGCCAAATTCATAAAGATTCATTAATTAAGATAAAAAACCTTAAAACTTTTAGTTACTAGTCTAGTAACAAAAAACTGTGCTAGGAAATCTCTTCTAGAAGCTTGCAAACAAGATAACATAATATTTATGGCATATTTTTAATAAATCGTATTTGTAAAGTATAACAAGACAATGTTACACATAACCATAATTCATAATATTATTTTAATAATATGTATATTAATATAATATATGTAAATATAATAATAATATTTATTTTACTGACATCACGAATATTAACATAATTAGAAAATCTTCTATATATATAAAAATGGATTGCTGTTGCTTAGTCTCGCTAAAACTCGAGAACGGATGAACTGATTTGTCTAATTTTAGTCTTGAAATACTCCTGTAAGTCCAGGGAAGGTTTAAAAGGTGAGAAAAATTGGAATAATTGCCGGGAAAACCCTAAAAACAGCCCTTTTCTATTTCCCATACAAACGATTTTTTGACATTAGACTTGACAACTAACTAAGATGTCAATCATTCTGTTCGATTGAAACAGTAGAAATTTAATAAAAACCAATACCGGGTTATTGAAGACGGAATAGAGTTCGCCCGGTCAGCTATACATATATTACTAATGACGAAATTAACGCGGACGAAGTCGCGGTCAAAAACTAGTATATTATAAAAATTTAAGCTAAATAAACTAAGTATATAAATACATATATGTGTATATACATATTTCAAAAAAAGAAAAGTATCTATCTAAGCTTAAGTGTTTTTAATAAACCTTACAATAAAATAAAAAATATTTATCCATTCTGAAATAAGACTTATTAACTCTACAATGAGTCGTGGTGACCTAGAAGTTAAAGGCCCGCCGCTCGTGCATTAGGGCGTGGGTTCGAAACCTGGTAAGTACCAATGTGACGTTTTCCGAGTCATATGTACTTTCCAAGAGTATTTAGACATTACTAATAGACGGTGAAGGAAAACATCGTGACGAAACCTGGACTTGTATCCAATTATAAGTTTGAAATCACCAACCCGTCTTGAGCAAGCGTGGTGATTAATGCTTTACCTTCTCCATGTGAGAAGAGGGCTTTGCTCAGCGGTGGGCGCTGATAGGCTGATGATGATTATTATAATAATAACAGTTTTAAGATTAGGAATACTAACATAATTAGAAAATATTCATATAATAAAATTCTAAGATAAATAACCTATATATACACACACATTCCGTGAATACTTACATTATATGCACAAGAAATGAATACACGAAAACCATACATATAATCTTAAGTGTTTATAATAAATCGTACTAACCATAAAAAATTATATTGCCATTCTGAAATAAGACTTATTAACTCTATAAAATGAGTCGTGGTGGCCTAGTGCCTAGTGGTAAGAGGCCCGCCTCTCGTGCATGAGAGCGCGGGTTCGATACCTGGCAAGTGCCAATGTGGTTTTTGCCTGTCATCTGTACTTTCTAAGAGTATTTAGACACCGTACTGTAAAAGTTTCAAAAATAACCCTTATAAACTCTTAAATTAGTATTAATTATATATATTTAATCTCCCACAGTGGCTACCTGGTACGTGTTCGTGCTCAAGTGATGTGTAGAGATGAGGGCACGGGCGGGTGGATGGCGCTTGGCGGGGGCGGGCTGGCCGACGTTATGGTGTGTCGACGTGGACCAGGTGAAATATTGGACTATCCACCATACACTAGCCATGAGCATATTGGACTACCCCCCATACACTAGCCATTAGCATAATATGGGACTACCCACCATACACTAGCCATTAGCATAATATGGGACTACCCACCATACACTAGCCATTAGCATAATATAGGACTCCCCACCATACACTAGCCATTAGCATAATATGGGACTACCCACCATACACTAGCCATTAGCATAATATGGGACTACCCACCATACACTAGCCATTAGCATAATATAGGACTCCCCACCATACACTAGCCATTAGCATAATATGGGACTACCCACCATACACTAGCCATTAGCATAATATGGGACTACCCACCATACACTAGCCATTAGCATAATATAGGACTCCCCACCATACACTAGCCATTAGCATAATATGGGACTACCCACCATACACTAGCCATTAGCATAATATGGGACTACCCACCATACACTAGCCATTAGCATAATATAGGACTCCCCACCATACACTAGCCATTAGCATAATATGGGACTCCCCACCATACACTAGCCATTAGCATAATATGGGACTACACACCATTTTACTACGTCAAAATATCTGATGTCTTCCGACATTGCTCGATTCCTATACAGAATCTACCCAGTTAAACCTAGGTCAAGCTAATGTTTGTTCCTAGTGAAATGCTATATATGTATATACTCATTATATTTTGTTGTAGGTGGTCCGGACAATGGCGACTCGGCGTTGTCGGCGGCCAGCATCCTGCAGACAGAGTATTATATACACGGACGAAGGATAAACGATAACACGGTGAGATTTAAAACTACCTACGTGTATATATATAACAATAACAGCTGTATATACAGGGTGACTGGTGAATTACTATCGATACTTGAGGACGTGATATTTGACGATCATATATGACAGAATAAAAATTAATATAACATAAATATTAATAAAGTTAACCAAAAGTTATGCAATTAATTACGCATCGTGTGAACACCTACAGATTAGGTATACACACACACACACACACGCGCGCGTTTGGCGGCGTGGTGTTGTATCAGCACGCCGCCGCACGCGTCCACACTTGGAACGTGTCCACACTTTATTTATTTATACGGAAATTTGGTCAAAAATTAAGTACCTATTTTTTTTACATAATTCGAATGAGAATCATGTACCGAGTATGCTCCTTAAATATTGATAGTAATTCACCAGTCACCCTGTATATATATAACAATAATGATTTGTACCCTCATATAACAATAAATTTACAAAGAATGTATTTTTGTTCCGTTCTTGCCTTAATTATAATACTAACTTCCAAAACGTAGATATTTTTTGCCAAAAAAATTGTATTTATAAAGGCGGTTCGTGATATCTTAAATGCTAAATGTTTTTAACTCTTTTGTTTACTTTCAATTTTGATTTAATTTGTTTTTTTTTTTATTTTTGTGTATTGGCTTTAAGTGGAAACTTTATTGAATTATGTTTTAAATTATTTTTATTTTTATATTACAGTGTTTCTAAATTATTTGTTTCCCAAATAAAAAAATAAAATAAAAAAAATTGTTAGGTTAATACTCAACTATGTATCGAGTGTAGTGAACTTTAGATATCTATTACTACTTGTTGTTTTTTATAGCACCTTGTAGTTAAAAGCATTATTTTACTTGTTAGTTTTATTTTGTCTTGCTCTTTCAACAGCTAAAAAATACGTAAAATACATAAAAAAATGTAATTATGAACATATTTCCATAACGCACCAAAATTCTATTAAATAACATAAAAACTGAATCGTTATATTGTTTTCAAATTCATAAATATTTCACTTAAACTAAAATTATATCTATATTATGTTTTATATTTATAAGCTGAATCTAACTATATATAACTTCTAAGACCTGCACATCAACTATTCGTACTTTAACCTTCTATCTTTAGCATTCCAAGTAATTCTATATAATTCCAGTCATTCCATTTCAACTAATTCCAACCAATTCTATATAATTCCAGTTAGTGATGGAGGCTCATACTTTAACCTTGGATCTTTAACATTCCATTCCAACCAATTCTATATAATTCCAGTTCGTTATGGATGCTCGTACTTTAACCCTGTTTCTTTAACATTCCATTCCATCTAATTCCAACCAATTCCATCAAATTCCAGCTGGTATTGGACTGCACGGTGAAGGACGACTTCCATTACCACAAGGTGATGCCTACCTTTCATCACTGGGTATCAGATGAGAAGCGATACGGATTGACCTTTCAAACAGCCGCTGACGCTAGGCACTTCGACAAGGGAGTTAGAATAGCTGTTAACCACTTGTATCGTGAGTATATACTAATATTATAAATATATACTAAATATTATCAAGACATTTTCTTTTAAAACGATTATATTTAAAAATAGAAAAGTATTCAGCAGCGAAGTGTCTAAACGTAATATTTTTGATCCAATTCTAAATTAATCATATATCATCGAAAAAACCTAATAGATAAAGTTTAGTATAACATTTGTATGAAATATCCAATTTTCGTCTCCATCAAATATAACTGAATAATCTCTACTAATATTATAAATGCGAAAGAAACTTTGTCTGTCTGTTACGCTTTCACGCCTGAACTGATTTTAATGAAATTTGGTACAGACATAGTTGACCTTGAGAAAGAACATAGTTTTTATCCCAGATTTTTGAAAGGTTCTCTTGGAAACGCTATATAATTAAACTCCACCCGGGCGAAGCTGCGGGCGGAAAGCTAGTGCTGTATAAACGGTTATTATAATGTAAATTAAAAGTAGTAAATTGAGGAATAAAGTCATGAGAAAAATAAATTTACCTCTCTCATTACATAGTGTATTAAACAATATACAGGGTGACTGGTGAATTACTATCGATACTTGAGGACGTGATATTTGACGATCATATATGACAAAATAAAAATTAATATAACATAAATATTAATAAACTTCTAAGTAAAGTTAACCAAAAGTTTTGTAATTAATTACGCATCGTGTGAACACCCTACAGATTAGGTATACACTCACACTCACACATACGCGAGCGGGGCGTGGTGTTGTATCAGCACGCCGCCGCACGCTTCCACACTTGGACCATTGGGACGTGTCAACACTTTATTTATTTATACGGAAATTTTGTCAAAAATTAAGTGCCTATTTTTTTTACATAATTCGAATGAGAATCACGTACCAAGTATTCTCCTTAAATATTGATAGTAATTCACCAGTCACCCTGTATAGAATTAATAAATGAATAACAAAGAATATATTTTTAATATGCAACTTATATGTATTAAATATATAGTTCATTATTAAATAGTAATACATACTTCCACTTGTTCTTAAAATATAACATTGGATGCATTAATATACCTAAAGCTAAAAAATGTGTTGATAAAGTTTAACTTGTTTCGATGGCTTATTGTGAAAAATATCCTTTATCAAATTTTTGAATCTAATTTCTTGCACCTTAAAATATATTTATAATGATTAAAGTTATTGATTTCACAGAAAAATGCGCTTAAATGACAAATTTATATGACAAATTGTATCAAATAGTAAAACCAGAACTCTAATTTTGGGTTTTGAAGGAATAATATGATTAATATATTAAAGTACATAGAAACTAACTGAATATTTGAAATTAAGGTAAACCATAATATTTAAATAAGTAAGCTCGTGTTTTAAAGCTAAATTTGTAGGCTAAGAATTGTTGATATTCAATTTATTCATTTATTTAATACACAATATGTTTAGTTTGTAACATTCACTGTATCATGCTAGTTATATATGTATTTTATGTATATATAACAAAAATATATGTAAAAAATATATATTTTCAGGTAAGCGGAATCTTCTCAAACCGAAAGAAGATGATGAAGAAAATAATATATTTGAAGTAAGTATTAATATAATTATATATAAGTAAGTTAGCATACGACATAAACAAAGTGACCAAAATTTTCTCACATAATATAATTTAATAAAGTAACAAAAATATTAGTGTCTGTGAGTGCATCTTTATTCCGCTTAGTATGTATTACAGCGTTACCTAATTTATTTTGTCCTAAATTTACACATGTAATTATTTTTTAAGGCGTCTTAAGCCCTAAAATGTTTGCTATTTGGTTCTAAAATTCATATAACATTTATAAACTTTAAGTTTTAATGTTAATATATATTAATGTTAGAATAAAGACATTATAAAAAAAATATTAAGACCATTACAGCATTAAGTTTAGCATTCAGTTACAGTAAATGTATATAAAATAATATTAAATATTTCCGCAGTGCCTGAATCTTCCATCAGAGTCTCGTTCAAGTTCAGAAACTTCGACTGCATCGAGGAGACGAGATGAATTATCACAGACACCCATACTATCAGCTATTACGCTACCTCAACACACTCTCGCAGGTTAAAAAACAATAGCTATAGGTTTATATTTAGATTTAAATAAGTTTCCAAAAAGAAAAAAGTTTGAACAAAGGAAATTTAAAAAAATTATAACTGCAATTAAGATATTACAAATAATAAACAGTAATGAACAAGATCAGTGTAATCTAATATATGGGTTCTTAATCGATTTTAAATATACAGGGTGACTGGTGAATTACTATCGGTACTTGAGGACGTGATATTTGACGATCATATATGACAAAATAAAAATTAATATAACATAAATATTAATAAACTTCTAAGTAAAGTTAACCAAAAGTTATGTAATTAATTACGCATCGTGTGAACACCCTACAGATTAGGTATACACACACACACACATACGCGTTTGGCGGCGTGTTGTTGTATCAGCACGCCGCCGCACGCGTCCACACTTGGAACACTTGGAACGTATCCACACTTTATTTATTTATACGGAAATTTGGTCAAAAATTAAGTACCTATTTTTTTTACATAATTCGAATGAGAATCATGTACCGAGTATTCTCCTTAAATATTGATAGTAATTCACCAGTCACCCTGTATATAGAGATTTTGAATTTACAACGCTTAGCAAAGAGATATACAGTTATACATCTAAGACTTTAAAGTATTCATTGAAATTAAACTAATATTATTTGTATTACTACGCGTATTTTATTGGCATGAGTTCGTATTACGTCTATTGTGAATACGGTTGCTGCAAAGTAACAGAAACATCGGGAGTATGTAGTTTAAAATAATAAAATAACGTAGTAATGCGAATAATATTAGTTTCATATATAACATATTAGTTATCAAAGACTTGGTCTGCATTAACTTGACAAATAGAAATGTATAACCCTATACTGCCTTAGAGGCAGTAAATAATCACATTTTGGGTTTTTACTAAGTATTTATGTATTTTAATTTTTGTTGAAACTTAATGAAAGTATTCTATGTCAGTCTTCTAGTTTTAAACTACCTGCCAAAAAATCTTCATACAAACCTGTTCAGCCATTCTTGAATTATAAACTAATACTACTTTCTTTTTTATATACATATATACATAATAATCATAGAACAATGATTTGCCATGTTAATAACAAGAAAAGTATATATGTAGACCGTTATATACTCATATACATATGTTATTTCCAGATTCCCTCAACATTCAATACGATGACAAGTTGGATGACTCCGATAATGATCGCTGTCCGTATGTTCATCTGTCCGCTGTAAGATAATAAACTTTATAATATATATATCTCATAAATATTACAATATTCATGACAAACATAATATTTAATTATGTTTATATAATAAATTTAAATTAATTGTATGATAGAGTATCCTTTATATACCTACTAATATTATAAATGCAAAGGTAACTCTGTCTGTCTGTTACGCTTTCACCTAAATCACTGAACTGATTTTAATGATATTTGGTACAGAGATAGAGTTGACCTTGAGAAAGAACATAGGATAGTTTTTATCCCAGACTTTTGAAAGGTTCTCTTGGAAACGCGATATAACCGAACTCCACGCGGGCGAAGCTGCGGGCGGAAAGCTAGTAGTACATAAGAAACAGATTTAATTACGAAATAAAAGGTTTTTCATTACTATTCTTAGTATTTTTAGGAATACTAGGAATACTATTTTCTATGTTGCTTATAGTCCTACATTAGCACATTACTTGTTAATAGAAAATGTATATGTATTTATTTTTTTACAAGGTCCATGAGTACACATACCCTCAAGTATGTCCCGGAGTGATTAGTTCAGAAAAATCATCACCAAATACTAAACCACCGCTGCTTAAAAGGGATTCTGGTATGTATTATATTAAAATTCATTTTAACATACTTATATCAGGTTATAATTAAAATTTAGTCCATTTATATGTTAGAATATAGCTCCTTAACTATACATAATGTTAATAAACAGTTTGAAATGAAATATCAAAAATAGATAATGATTTAGATAATAATTAACTAATGTCTAGAGTACGGATTTTATAAATATAAAGCCAAATGAATTTATCAACATTTATATGTAAATATATTTTCTATTCCTCAATGTATAATAATATCCCATTTTTTATATATATAATTTTTCATTAATTCCAGGGTCAATCAAGAAGACATACACCAGTCCCCCTTTGCCTGATAAGAAATTACCTCCGGAGGTGTTTCAAGCCAGGATTAAATGTCGGTTAGTATCAAATATCTTTATATATATAATTCTTCTGTGAGTGTGTATGTCACTGAACTTCTCTCAAACGACGGGACCGATTTTGATGAAATGTTTTTTGTGTGTTCAAGGGGATCTGGGAATGGTTTAGATTCACAATTTTGGCTGCTGGACAATGTTTTTTTAATTAATTTTTAATTTATTAGTAGTTGTTGATACAAACGACTAATATGTCAATCATTCTGTCGCACTTAAAAACACGGAGATTTATGGCTTTAATAGGTAAACCCCAAAAATATAAATAAAAAAACGTAACAGATATTTCTTGATTATAGGGCGATACGAAGTTCGCCGGGTCTCCTTGTATAAATATAAATTTCAGTTTGGTTTAACAACATGTTTATCAACAGTTAGAAAATGAATTATTTATCATGTGGACCAAGTTTGTATTCCATCACATAATAAAATCTTAAATATATAAGTAGAATTAAAAAATACACAACAGATTTTTTATAATTTTGATACTACACATAAATACAATGACTTTATCAAATCTAGTGAGTTAGCATGATTAGAGTACAAAATATACAATCTAATTATTCAATATATGTATACACACTAGGTTTTTCTTGTGACTTTGTTTGTATAATAGAAATTGGGTTTTGCTGAGAAATATAGTGTTAAAACTATCTATATAACTTAACCGTCAGCGCCATCTATTATCGGTGTAACATGACTTGACATACAATTGTTAATAAATGAGCATTTGTGACAAGAAATTCTTGTAGAATAAAATCTATATATCATTCTTATATATAATCTACATTACGGTAAACTTTCATCGGAATCGGTTCAGTATAGAGACGAAACCTCTCATCATTCAATGTATTCACGGTGCGTGTGTCGGGTCCATCGTTGTAGTGAGAGGAGCTTCAACAGTGACTGGGACTTGTGACCCAGGTGTAGGTTTAATATATATAGAGAGACGAAACCTCTCATCATTCAATGTATTCACGGTGCGTGTGTCGGGTCCATCGTTGTAGTGAGAGGAGCTTCAACAGTGACTGGGACTTGTGACCCAGGTGTAGGTTTAATATATATAGAGAGACGAAACCTCTCATCATTCAATGTATTCACGGTGCGTGTGTCGGGTCCATCGTTGTAGTGAGAGGAGCTTCAACAGTGACTGGGACTTGTGACCCAGGTGTAGGTTTAAGGAAATTTGAAATTAACGTACTAATAATATGTTCTAAAAATATATTAATATTAGTTCTGGACAGGCCCAAGTCTTTTAGTAGGTTATAGAGAGATTGTTTTATTTGTTTCAAGAAATTCCCGTACAAGTCTACCTCATTCTTGCATCTGATTTACATTCACGATATATTCACCAATATTTTTTATTTTATTTTGTGATTTTTATTTAATATTTTTATTTTTTTTTAAAAATAGTATGTAAACTTTTTAATCGTGCACTGTTAGTTAGTAAATGTTATGTTCACTTGTCATTGACGTACATATCTGATGTTTTAATATAGTCACTTTAACTTTAAATGTTCAATATGTATGTTGTTGTTTCAGTTATTGTCACGAGTGGTATTTGGAAAGCGCAAATCGCGCCGGATCCTGTGAATTCGCGCCAGACTTGTGTCGCGCTTGTGTTGACGGAGTTACGTGTTTGAAATGTGCTCAGGTATATAATACATCCCTACTAATATTATAAATGCGAAAGTAACTCTGTCTGTCTGTATGTTACGCTTTCACGACGAAACCACTGAACTGATTTTAATGAAATTTGGTACAGACAAAGTTGACCTTGAGAAAGAACATAGGATAGTTTTTATTCCAGACTTTTGAAAGGTTCTCTTGGAAACGCGATATAACCGAACTCCACGCGAGCGAAGATAGTACAGATATATATACACATGTGTGTGTCCCTAGTTCTTTCTATCCGCTCCACGTAGCGTTGAACATTCAACGCAACAATATTATCATTAATAAGTTTTATAATAATGTATATAACTATATTTTCAGTGTCTAGTGTATCACTGCGCGTCAGACGGCGAAGGTGATTTCACACCACAGCCGTGCGCGTGCGCCCCGGCCGGTGATTCGTGTGTACGTCGTTGGCTCGGCGTATCATTACTAAGTCTGCTCGTGCCGTGTCTCTGCTGCTACCCGCCGCTCGCATGTCTGCACGGGGCAGCGCGCCGCGCGGGACTGACCGGCGGCGCGCACAGACCCGCGAGACGCTGAACGAAACACAGCTTTGAATCGATTCCGATTCCATTTTCAAAAATGATTCCAATTTTGAATAGACTTTCTTTTAATAAATAAAACTCTGATCGAAACATACTAGGGATGGAACAGCAGTGGAATCGATTCCGATTCCATTTTCAAAAATGATTCTCGGAATTCCAATTTTGAATATGACTTTTTCTTTTTAATAAATAAAACTATGTATGTAGTTTAATAAGGTCGAATGGTACGATAAAATGCAAATTTATTAAATATTATATTTGTGGCTATCGTGTCATTGTTCAAGCATAAAATAAATTATACAATCGATTCTGATAATTGGAAATCGAGTTTTTGATTACAGAATCGATTCTCGTGTGGAATCGGAATCGATTTTACCATTATTATGTCTGAGACATTCGTTCTTTCGTTCGTTCGATGACGCTCCCGTTGCGCGAGAAAAGGGCTCACTCGCGTCATGTCGACCGTCAAGTGAACGAATGAGTATACAAATCATTCATTCTATGAAAGTGAACGAATGATTATACAAATCATTCACTCTACAATCGAGATGGGACTCGTTAAGTGTTTGTGTTTTATTCGTTCTAAGTGTAATCGTTTGAATCGAAACCAAAGTTAATGTATGAAGGGTTGCGACGCAACTCAAATGGTTGTTTAAATATGTATCGATATATAAATAAATAATCGTACGATTATAAAAAAAATAAATGTTTTGTATTATTTGATTTTATCTATGATATGTAGGCGATTAAAAGTTTTATGATAAGTAAGTTGTATGATTGTAAGTGGATCTATGTCGAGATGTTCTCATGTGTAAATTACTGGAACTGCTCATCGTGTTAGGAAATATCATAATGTGTTAAAAAAATTATATTTGTTATAGTCATATATTAAAAATGTTCATTGTTTTAATATTTTTTCATGTCCGGTCACAGGATTTATCATTCCTATAACATAAAAGAATTAATACATTGATTTTTAAATGTCTATTAATATAAATGCATCATAATTGAACCATTTCCTCATTTTAATATAAATCAGATGTCACCTAGTATTACTAGTACTTTTATAGGTAACATAGTGTTAAGTGAATATTCTGTTAAATTTGTATATTACTACATATACATAGATGATAAGGCAAAATATAAATAAAAACATTGTCACTTATTTAACTTAGTTTATTTGACAGTATAAAATTATATAAAATAATAAAAAATCAGTAAAAAATAAATATGTTTTTCTTTTTTCTTATTTACAAATTATAAAAACTACTTATTATTGGAGGGTAAGTTGATACCAATTTATTTCGTAGCCAGATTTTATAATCAAATATAATCTAATCACTTTCTGCCAGATAACTTTTCTTTACAAGTAATAAAAAAAGTATCAAAAATGATAAAAGTGCAAACAAATATATAGCTATTACTTATTACAGTAATTACGTTTAAATTAATAATTAATGGACGCAGTTTATCTAAAAAAAGTTCACAAACAAACTTATTATATCAAAAATGCTATTGAAGAGCTGGTAACGACAAATAAATATCATATTTAATATCAACAAAAGTATTTCAATAATATAAACGTAAAAGTCAAAATATAAGTAAATGACACTTTCTCCCGCCTCGATGAATTTGACAGTTCGTTGAAACGTTCGAAAACTTGCGCTTGTGTTATATTGTATAGTTGCTGTGGTTCAGGATCTTCTAATATTGGAGTGAAATCGGTGTAATCTGATGTCGAGAGTAAGATTTTTCCTGCTGTAATTAATATATAGTACATTAAATATACATGAATTTATTAAGACAGTCTCTCAGGCATAGATTGTGGAAAAAAGTTAAGTCAGTGGTGGCCTAGTGGTTAAAAGGCCCGCCTTTCATGCACGGGGGCGCGGGTTTGATCCTGGCAAGTACCAATGTGATTTATCCGAGTCGTAAGTATGTACTTTCTAAGGGAATTTAGACCTCTGATTAATGCATTCCCAAAGAGGGTTGATGTCAGGCAGGCGGCCGGTCGTAAAAACAATTAGCCAAAACTATTTACAACATGTAAGGCAAACTCTGGCTAAAAGCTGGGAAATTGCCAGGTAGAATAAGAAAAAGAGACTGTGGAAAAAAAGGAACTACTTATTATTAAAATTGTAAGTTAATTTGAAATAGTATAAGTTTTTTTTACCTCCAGGCTCTGTAGCGAAATGTAGAACAGCGGAAGGCTTACTCCATCCAAATCTAGAAGATTTTAAACATTATTATATGCATTATAAATTAAATTGGATATTACTTATAATTTCTGTGACATACCTATTTCTGGACGTAACCACGGCTTCATAAACAGTGGACGGAGTTAAACCTCTTACAGTATAGGTGGCACTGTGTATTGGACCTGACATTATACGATTTCAAAAATTACTCTAAATAAAAGTTATGGTGCGTTACGAAATAATAATATGTACTATGAATTTTTTAATGTATAAAACATAAGGTTTTTTATATTATACAATGAACGAAATTGACTTATCAAATAACCAATAAGTGAGCAATTTGTGATTTTTTTCTATCAAAAATATCATGTCAAACTGTGATGAAATATTAAGCGACCTTCCTTAAGCTTTATACATATTAGTAACATCATAGAAACATATGTTCCTTTATAGGTTTAACATGAATACAAAAAAAAAATACAAACGGTGAGATGATTTGCTCTTAATTTTATTTTAATTTTTAGTTGCTTAAAGCGAGCAAGTATTTTGTTTTAACAGCTTCTAGGTAATAAGTTGCCAAGAATTTTTTTAAGTTTACATTTCTAAATCACAGCTGGTAAAAGACTAATAAATGATAGATTTCGTATAAATTAAGTTTGTTATCATACCTTCATTAGAGTCGCCCGGTACCACGATCTTCGACCAGACGTTTGGAGTTTCCGTCGTTATGAAGTCCGGTTCCGTGGTAGCGGGGCGGCCGTAGTATGGACGAAGCCAAAGATTATATTCTGTGTTTTAAATATACTATACAGTTTGCTTATTGAACTAGATTTAAATATAATATTAGAAAATTTTCATTCATAAACACAATGGAATTTCTAAACTGAAGGTGTAAACATTGACAGTAACAGTAAGTACACAGATTAAAATCACAAAATATGCATGGTTATCAAAAAGAAATAAAATTATATTTTTATGAGAGAAACCCGTCCATTTCAAAATGTAAGCCGAACGTTAATTAAAAATTGTTGACACCTATTTCTTTTATTTTGGTCTACAGATAAATATGTATAAATTGTGGTAAGGACATTTTTGGCACTGTCCAAAAAAACGTGATAATAAAATTTATTGTATTATACCTATGATATTGGAGTAACTATCTACTTCCCACAACAGTGTGTAACTTGTTGCATCAGCTTTGTTTAAGGAAGGATCCACTTTAAAAGACGCGGTATTTGGAACACCTGAAAAAAGAAGTTATTTATCTCTTTTGATTTTAAGTCTCACAATAAAATAAGGTTTTATTATACAACTACGCGTTTCCTATTATTTTTAGACTTTAAACTTCCATCTCGTCTACCCGTGATCACAGTTGCTGCAATGTAATCGAAACGTCGGCAGTATGTAGTTTAAAATAATAAAATGACGTCTAGTAATCCGAAAATATTAGTTTTATTTATAAAATCTAGGATACCATTGCCTCGATTTTAAATTTAACTTCGGAATAAACGTGACATATTTTTACAAATTTATCAGTTATGGCACAATAAGTAGGTATAAGTATAAGTCTAATATAAATTTAATTTAATTATTATTGTTAACTCTCTGTGAAAATATAATTTATATATAAAATAAAAAGATTATTAAAACTGAGCAGTTCTTTTTGTATGGTAGCAACACTCAATGATGACGTAATACCACAAATATTAAATCTATGTAATTTTTTAAGTTATTTTATATTATAGATATATAATTATTTTAAAAGTAATTATTTGTAACATACCCGTCAATTTAAACGATACATCAGCCATTCCCAGACTATTCTCAGCTCTGAACGTGTAGTTACCGAAGTCTGATTTCCGAACGCTTCTGAATATTAACTGATGTACATTATCTTGAACCATTATTATGATTCTGTGAAAAAAAAAAATTACATTAAGTAAATTGATTAATTAAAATATCTGAAATATAAATAAATTTATGTTTTGTTAATTACATCGAATATATGATTACGGATATTTAAATGGAAAAAATGTTCAATAGAAGAATATGTGAAGAAGATTCGTAAAAAAAATCTTTGAAAAATGTTTCAATTGTATTTTTTCTCTCGCTATATATGTATACTAGTTTTTGCCCGCGATCTTATCCGTATGAACTGTAGCATTGTACTCAGAAATATATGAAGTGTATTGAAATAAATATGGCAACAAAACCTCAGCGACATCTATCGTGTGTCGTGTGTTTTCAGACAGAAAACAGCAAAATAAATAACACCATGTCTTATTGTAATATCTAATCTACATGACTGTAAAATTTCATCAAAATATATTAAGAAATTTTTATTCTAAAACTTAGCAAACATCCATACATTCGTACAAAATTTCATATCAATAATATTTGTTTAGGTAGAGAGAGGAGCTTGTACGGTGGAGGTGAGCGTTTAATGTTAGATAGGGTCCCTTAAACCTACACCTGGGTCACAAGTCACAGTCACTGTTGAAGCTCCTCTCACTACAACGATGGACCCGACACACGCACCGTGAATACATTGAATGATGAGAGGTTTCGTCTCTCTATATATATTAAACCTACACCTGGGTCACAAGTCCCAGTCACTGTTGAAGCTCCTCTCACTACAACGATGGACCCGACACACGCACCGTGAATACATTGAATGATGAGAGGTTTTCGTCTCTCTATATATATTAAACCTACACCTGGGTCACAAGTCACAGTCACTGTTGAAGCTCCTCTCACTACAACGATGGACCCGACACACGCACCGTGAATACATTGAATGATGAGAGGTTTCGTCTCTCTATATATATTAAACCTACACCTGGGTCACAAGTCACAGTCACTGTTGAAGCTCCTCTCACTACAACGATGGACCCGACACACGCACCGTGAATACGTTGAATGATGAGAGGTTTCGTCTCTCTATATATATTAAACCTACACCTGGGTCACAAGTCCCAGTCACTGTTGAAGCTCCTCTCACTACAACGATGGACCCGACACACGCACCGTGAATACATTGAATGATGAGAGGTTTCGTCTCTCTATATATATTAAACCTACACCTGGGTCACAAGTCCCAGTCACTGTTGAAGCTCCTCTCACTACAACGATGGACCCGACACACGCACCGTGAATACGTTGAATGATGAGAGGTTTCGTCTCTCTATATATATTAAACCTACACCTGGGTCACAAGTCCCAGTCACTGTTGAAGCTCCTCTCACTACAACGATGGACCCGACACACGCACCGTGAATACGTTGAATGATGAGAGGTTTCGTCTCTCTATATATATTAAACCTACACCTGGGTCACAAGTCCCAGTCACTGTTGAAGCTCCTCTCACTACAACGATGGACCCGACACACGCACCGTGAATACATTGAATGATGAGAGGTTTCGTCTCTCTATATATATTAAACCTACACCTGGGTCACAAGTCCCAGTCACTGTTGAAGCTCCTCTCACTACAACGATGGACCCGACACACGCACCGTGAATACATTGAATGATGAGAGGTTTCGTCTCTCTATATATATTAAACCTACACCTGGGTCACAAGTCCCAGTCACTGTTGAAGCTCCTCTCACTACAACGATGGACCCGACACACGCACCGTGAATACATTGAATGATAAGAGGTTTTTTCTTCTCACCTGTCATCTGTTCTAACTGGTTTTCCATCTCTGTACCAAGCCGTACGAGCGGCGGGTGCTGCAAACTCTAATTTCGACGCCAACACCGCTCGTAAGCCAATCGCCGTGTGAACGAAACTACGAGATGTAGTAACTACCGGAGCATCTGTTAAAACACAATTATTATATAATACTAGCTTTCCGCCCGCAGCTTCGCCCGCGTTGAGTTCGGTTATATCGCGTTTCCAAGAGAACCTCTCAAAAGTCTGGAATAAAAACTATCTTATGTTCTTTTTCAAGATCAACTCTATCTCTGTACTAAATTTCATTAAAATCAGTTTGGTTAGGGCGTGAAAGCGTAACAGACAGACAAACAGAGTTACTTTCGAATTTATAATATTAGTAGGGATAAAGATTAATTTTTTGACAATACTAGGTTTTGATTATAGATATTAATAAAGATAATTTAATTACTATAAAAATAATTGCCTAAGTGACTCCTTATTACATGAGCTATAGGCCATCGAAAGTCAAATGAAAATCGGTTCATATTATGTTTCAAAGATTAATCGGAACATACAATATCATTTAGGTCTAACATACATCAATTTCTCATCTTTGCTATAATTTATCTATCAAAATCTATATGTACTACAATGTATTGTTTTAAATAATTTACTTACTATTACTCTATTATCATAAAAATTTCGCTAATTTCTATACAAATAGGTATGTTTCTATTAAATTCTGTATACAAATACTTTTCCAATACAAAAAACTTAATCAAATTAGCTGTATAACTGTTTTATAGTAAGAAAACATGATTGTATCATTGTTATACAGGGCGACTGGTGAATTACTATAAATATTTAAGGAGAATACTCGGTACATGATTCTCATTCGAATTATGTAAAAAAAATAGGTACTTAATTTTTGACAAAATTTCCGTATAAATAAATAAAGTGTTGACACGTTCCAAGTGTTCCAAGTGTGGACGCGTGCGGCGGCGTGCTGATACAACACCACGCTATTCGCTAGTGCTGATACAATATTTATGTTATATTAATTTTTATTTTGTCATATATGATCGTCAAATATCACGTCCTCAAGTATCGATAGTAATTCACCAGTCACCCTGTATACTAATTATTTGCTGTAACCTTGTATAACAACTGTTATAGCTGCTGTTATTGGGTCTCCAACACCATTCGTAGCTGTACATTCGTACACGCCCGCTAATAGACGATGCTCAGCACGGAATCGAATCCTGGACCTGTGCTCCAATAGCGCCATGGACTCGCCCTGGTACGAGAAGAAAAACTCTTAAACTATGCAAATTAATAATGCTTATAGAAAATCGTTTTATAAAATTAAAAATCTTTATAAAAATCTTGAGACCCCTGGTTAATTTTTTTATGGGGGAAATATTCCTAATGAATTTAAACTGGTTTGTGTTAATTTTTTCTTTTAATTTGACTAAAATTCTACAATGTGTACAATGTACCTAACAGTATAAGTAAACATGTTTTGATTACGACCACAATATATTTGTATATATTATACATATTATACAGGGTGACTGGTGAATTACTATCGATATTTGAGGACGTGATATTTGACGATCATATATGACAAAATAAAAATTAATATAACATAAATATTAATAAACTTCTAAGTAAAGTTAACCAAAAGTTATGTAATTAATTACGCATCGTGTGAACACCCTACAGATTAGGTATACACTGACACTCACACATACGCGTGTCGTGACGTAGGTTGTATCAGCACGCCGCCGCACGCGTCCACACTTGAACACTTGGAACGTGTCAACACTTTACTTATTTATACGGAAATTTTGTCAAAAATTAAGTGCCTATTTTTTTTACATAATTCGAATGAGAATCATGTACCGAGTATTCTCCTTAAATATTGATAGTAATTCACCAGTCACCCTGTATATTACACTATGTTTTGCAGACAACAAATTACCACGTCATATAAGCTAATTCACGTTTTATCTTTTAACAAAGTTAGTAGCGAAACTGTAACAATGCAAGAAGTTTTAATAAATCTTTCAACTATGATTAAATTCTTATTATATTATTAAATACATCAGCTATAACTACTTGACCTAAGGTCCAAAGTTATGTCTTAATGATGATACAGTCTAAATTATACACAAATATTACAACGCTTTAGTCTCCAAGTTAATTAGTAACATATCTCTTACATTCTTCTTCCAATTGACGATAGGAGTAGGTGTACCAGTCGCTTCACAACCAATGTCCACGTATTCACCCTTCTTGACTTCTAAATAACCGTCTTCTGGTATAGTTTTCACGATTGGAGCATCTGAAATCAAATGTAGTTATAACAGCTTAAGATTCTTTGAATCAGAAAAGTTATTGGACACTAGCTTTCCGCCCCAGCTTCGCCCGCGTGGAGTTCGGTTATATCGCGTTTCAAAGAGAACCTTTCAAAAGTCTGGGATAAAACTATTCTGTTCTTTCTCAAGTTCAACTCTATATCTGTACCAAATTTCATTAAAATCTGTTCAGTGGTTTAGGCTTGAAAGTTTAACAGACAAACAGAGTTACTTTCGCATTTATAATATTAGTAGAGATATCTATCTACGTAAAAAAACTATTCTCTAAAACCTATAAAACTTTTTTGAAATCCTGAAGAATAGAGAATTATATCTTTTTTGTTAAACATAGGTAGGCAATGTATTTACATCTCTTATGATGCAAATGTCCAAGGGAAACGGTAACTACTTACCATCAAAAAGGCCGTTTGTTCTTTTACCTCTTTAGGACATAAAAAGAGAAGTTACAATTATATTGGTTTTATCAAACTTACATTGAACTTCAATGGAGTGAGTCTGTCTGACCGGACCCAAGGGTTCTGCACGAATTACCTGGTGTAAGAAAAATATTAAAACAATACATACATACAAATTATTCACATGAGATAGGGCACCACTCATCAGCCTATCAGAGCCCACTGCTGAGCAAGGCCTCTTTCTCACATGGAGAAGGTTTGAGCATTAATCACCACGCTTGCTCAAGACGGGTTGGTGATTTCAAACTTATAATTGTGAAACTATAAGTCCAGGTTTCCCCACGATGTTTTCCTTCACCGTATGTCAGTGATGTCTAAATACTCTCAGAAAGTACATATGACTCGGAAAAATCACAGGGCACTAGAATTATTACTAAATAAAAGATAAGTATTATTATAAAGAAAAAGAAAGATTTTCGTTGCTTTCCTTTGCTCTACTTCACGTGAAAATAATTGCAAGATTTGGTAAGTGAAGTAAGTACATACAGTTGCAACAAAAGATATAAATCTATTTTTGTTATATCTTCAGGGAATTTAGATATTTATGAAGAAAGGAAAGTTAAATGTTAATATTGTCGCATCTCAATTAATTCACTACAACTTTCTGTTAGATTGGCGTAATAATCTTAACGTGAAATCGTACACAATACAAAATTTGTCTTGATCCCGCGGGTACTACGCCTAATTCCAGGATAAATTATAGCCTTTATTTTATCCTGATAAGTAAGTTAAAAGGAAACTTCAATAATGTGAAGTTTCATCAAAATACATTCAGCAGTTTTTATAACAGACCCTGGCTAGAGCTGGGACGTTGCCAGGAAGAAGAAGAAGCAGTTTTTATGTGAAAGAGCAATCATCCAACCTATTATATTTATGAGTAATAATAAAATAAAACAATGTACTTGTGGCACACAATTTACTGCTTCAACGTAGACTGACAACTGTCACAAACATTATTTATCTACCTACTTTTCTACCTACTATCTGAATTTGTTACAGACACTATACAACCATACTTACAAACTTTTTTATTTGTAATATTATTAGTAGGTATAGGGTAACCATCAGCTTTGCAAGTCTGCCAACGTGATCAGTTTAGGTGCACAAAAAAACGATCTTAAAGTATTTTAGGACCTTCTAGAAGATTCGAGAGCAATTTCTATCATTATTTTAGTTATTTTATTTATTAATTAATACATATATTAAATCGTTCGTTCTTGAAACTATAGGTACATCTATTATAAGATTTCAAGTGATTTTTAGAAGTATTTGTCAGTGAATTGAATTTTAAAACTTTCAAGAAATTATGATGACATTTATTTTTTTATTTAAATCGTTCTTGTTTCTTTTCTGAATATTTAATACAAATAAAACATATATTTAAATATTACAAATTATTAATATTAATCAAGTATATTTGAATAAAATATTTTGATTCTCTTCCCGTAACTAATTATAGGACTTCCTAATAAATGAATGAATGCATAATTAGCATCCGAAGGGCTTAATTGATTCGTACAAAGGGCTGCCGCCATATTTGTTTCCGTCACAATTGTCATTGTAATGACAGCTAACAGAAAAAAAAACACAAAAAGCCCGCGTAAATATTGTGTGAGTTATAATTGAAATAAAGTCTGTAATTTGAATAAAAGTTGAAGTAGGATCGTTTTATTTGCTAATAGCAGCTTTGGCATAATTAATCTTAATACCATAGAAAAACATTTTTGCATAGTCTAAACACAATTACATATATCCAAAATTGTAGTTTTTGTTACTTTCGAGTAATCTCTAAACGGCTGGACTGTTTTTGATGACAACTTTACTATTAAATAAGTTATCGAATAAGTAGTAACATAGGTTACTTAACTCTCTTCAAAGAGAGCTACTTTTCAATTCCACAGTTTTATTACTCTGTAATTTCCTCAATTTAAGGAAGATTGAAAAATATATTATTTTAAACGTAAGGATATTCCTAAAGAAATTCCTGTCACCAAGTCAAAGTCTGATGGAGGAGTAGTCAAGAAAAAGATAATAATAATGATGACTCGTCCTTCAAAGAGGATTTACTACGCGGACAAAGTCGCTAAAAACAGCTAGTTATTTCATTTAAAAAAATACATATTAAATAATTTTTAATCTAAGTTATTTCGTATTAACAGAATATTTATTATATTCAATTAATTTTAATATATTAAACGTGTTTTACCAATCAAAAAATAAGAAAACCTTCAACAAATATTGTATTATTTTATATATATATATATATATATATATATATATATATATATATTATATATATATATATATATATATATATATATAATTGTTATTTATTTGTACCAGATAACGTAATGGCTAGATACGGGTTGAACATCGCGAAACACTTGGGAAAATTACTTGATTGTGTAATTGGTCGGTTTTAACGGTCAGTGTAGTGATGGGACACAGTTATACGATAAAATATTATTAAAATATATGAAAAATAAACATATTTTACCTAAACACTATTTGCTATATAGTTTACTAGCTTTTGCCGCGACTTCGTCCGCGTGGAGTAGTGACTTCCGACAGATTTTTGGTTCTTCCCTCATAGTTCCCGTTCTTGCGTGGTTTTCGGAATGGTCGAGTTCCCGTAGAGTTTTCAGGATAAAACCTATGTTTTTTTTTTAATTCACAATGAAGTACTCTTAACCAACAACATATTTATTTGTTTATTTGAATAAAGATTTTATAAAAATATTTCGACCAAATTAGGTACCATAAAAACGGTTTTTGTGAGTCAATCTTAAAAGATAGACATATACTGTCGCGGACTGTTTTTTAGATAATTAAAAGAGCTATTATTCTTTAATACATATTTTTTGTGTATCTTGAACCGTTTTCACGGCGCACGCAACGGAAGGCTTCAAAGATGAAATAATTTCTCCCGCTTTTTATACATTTACCACTATATCTTTGCTCCTATTGGTCGTAGCGTGATGTTACATAGCCTACAGCCTTCCTCGATAACTGGACTATCCAACACAAAAAGAATTATTCAATTCGAACCAGTAGTTTCGGAGATTAGCGCTTTCAAACAAACAAAAAAACAAACTCTTCAGCTTTATAATATTAGTATAGATAATCGATGAATGAATGTGTTAGTCAAATTTAGCGCTAACTATTTAAATGGTTAGGAAATAAATAATTTTATATTGATATAAATAAAATAAAAATTTAAGTATTCAGAAAAAACAGAGGAAAGTTAGGAGTATTTTGTATTTTTATTTTGCTATTAATGAAATAATGAGTATAAAACTAATTGTTATCTGTAATACGGTTGAAATTTTTAGTCTGTGTTTCATGATTTTCTAATTAAAAAAATCGAAAAAATCTTTTTTAAAACACAGGTAACATATGGACGACAAACGATTTTATCTAAAAATTATCGATTGCTATAAACATGTCAAGTTTATCGATATAACTTGTAACATCACTACTATCAAATTACTTAAATTGAGATCTAAAGGAACCCGCTGTAATTGTTACCAAAAAAGTATTGCACGAACTATTTTTAACTCCTTCAATGATAATGTTTGCTTCAATAAAAATAACAGATGCCGTTTAAGATTATTGTCAATAAGACGAATAACGAAAATAAGGTTTAAAAATGTATTAGTTATACGAGATATATGAAAAAGTCGATATTTTATAATAATTAATTGATTATTTCATGTTTAATATAAGAATGGAAACGTCTTTATGTAGTTTTTATCAAAAATAAAGTCGCGTGGTATATACGAAAAATATTAGTTTCACACTAGTTTCAGTTTTGCCATTCTTCAATTAAATTTGTGTTTATTTATTATAATTCACATTTGATATAATAATACAAAATTATATTTATTTATATAGATTACTATTATCATTAAATGTAAATTTATTCTTATTTCAATATTTTTTGTTATCTGTTTTAGGTTACAGAAAAAAATTAAGACTTTTTCAAATAAAAGTTTTCTTGCAATAAGCTTTTATCGTCTTTTACTATTAACAAAATGGTAAATTCATTAATTTTTATTATTATTATTGTTATAAATGTTCTCACTTAACGTTTAAATAATATTACTTTACTTACTTTCCACCAAAAGTAACACTTAATACATTTTTGCGTCTCAATAAATTTAAACTGTCGATTTTCAGTTGACTACGAAATATTGTACAAAAACTGATACATTATATTATATATATATATATAACTAGTTTTTGCCCGCGACTTCGTCCGCGTTAGTTTGGTCAAGAGTAATATATGTAGGTATAGCTGACCAGGCGAACTCTATTCCTTCTAGAGACCATAAATAATCAGGTTTTACTTGTTTCAATCAAACAGAATGATTGACATATTAGTTAGTTGTCAAATCTAATGTCAAAAAAACGTTTGTATGGGAAATAGAAAAGAGCTGTTTTTAGGGTTTTCCCGGCAATTATTCCAATTTTTCTCACCTTTTAAACCTTCCCTGGACTTCCAGGAGTATTTCAAGACTAAAATTAGCCAAATCGGTTCAGCCGTTCTCGAGTTTTAGCGAGACTAAGGAACAGTAATCCATTTTTATATATATAGAAGATATAATGATCTACATATTCTTAAAAATACTTACTACTACTTTCCACTTAGCACAAAATCATAACACATATACAATTTAACCTAACATATAAGTTAGGGCATTGTTTACATAATTGGTTATCTTAAATTTAATTCAAAGTATGATTGACGCTTAATACTTTTCTTCTATTTACAGATTCAATTACACCTAAAACTTTATGTCAATACAGTTAATTAAACAATTTATTTTATATCTTAGACATCAATTGTGTTACATTAAGATATTAATAGAATGACATTGGTTATGACCTCAACAAGTATGATTGTAAACATAAATGTAGGAAAAACATGATGTAATCTATATTTCAAGCGAAAAGAACTATTTGACATTATTAGTAACTTATGTTGAGAAAAATAAGCTATAATATATGTTTCGATAGTTGTTGTATCTCCAAAACTGTAAATTTTCAAAGCGTTTCAAAGATTCAAATTAAAAGAAAATCTGCAAAATTTTAAAATACAACATTAGGTATGCGCCTGACAAATCCTTTAAAAATAGTATTTTTGTTGTTTTTTTTACTTTGAATGGATATAATGATCTATAATAGGATATTTTTCATAAAAATAGCATTTTTTGGCATACAACAAGTAACGCGGGAGAAATCGGTATATACCAAGCCATTTCACATTATTTCTCTATATTATTTCACATTTTTTATAGTTGAAATCAACTTTATAAAATTTCATACTTTTTCTACATTTTCTCATGATCAAATTTTAAGTTTCTAATAATTTATCTAACTCAGGACTACGCCTTTTCAATTTAAAAAAATATTTGTAAATCGCCCTTTAATAAAATTAGTAATACTGTAACAAAAATTACGTCGAATTGAGAAGTAACTCTATTTTGAAGGGTATGTTAAAAAATTGCCGTAGTTACTTCTTACGACCTTCGCGAGTGAAATTTCCATCAAAATTAGTCCCGCAGTTCAAGGTTTAGGCGGGAAAACCAGAGATTTTTCATGTAGTTATCATATTTATCTTGATGAGAATTTAGTCAAAAACTATCAATTTGTATTATAAACAAACAAATGAAATTTATTAACAAGTAAAGGATAGGTCACTACGTAATTATTTTCCTTAACACGAATTTGAATGACCAAACATAAAACTACGAGTATTTAGTTATTCACATTATAGTATTAAATTGTATGAGAAACAACAAATTCTTCGTATGATAAAATTTAAAAACAATGATAACTTGCGGTTAGCTAAAACGGCATTATTATTTTTCTTATTTATATACATATGTATATGTTTGCATATATAAAGAATTACACATCTTAATTTTTCTGATATATATAAGAACTACATATATCGTTTAACATCCTGTTTTAGTGAAAACCATAAAAGAATAATCCACAATTTTTTAAGCTAGAACAATCAAATATATTTAATTTAGTAACAAAACATGAAATTTAAAACCCGGTAGTATAATAGGATATATTGAAATCTCGTGAAATTGAACAAACATTATTCTACTACAGAAATTATTAAGAACCTATAAATTACTGTTAAATCTAGAAGAGTTCTATCATATTAAATCTTCTGTTCTGTTCTTACCTCGCAAGTATAATCTGCTGTGTCATCTGCTGTCAAACCATCGACTTGAAGACTGTAGTTGGCATGCATTCTTGTCCGGAGAGGCAAAAGACGATTGGGGTCCGCGCTATCACCCAGTAAAGAACTATCTTTGTACCAAAGAACTCTTAATTCACCATCTGAAAAAACAATAATTAATCATAATATTCATCATCATCAGAGCCTAGTACTGAGCAAAGGCATCCTCTCACATGGAGAAGATTTGAGCATTAATCACCACGCTTGATCACGGGTTGGTGATTTCAAACTTATAATTTAAGTCCAGGTTTCCTCACGAGTCATGATGTTTTCCTTCATCAGTCAGTGGTGTCTAAATACTCTTAGAAAGTACATATGACTCGGATAAATCACACTGGTGCTTGCCAGGTTTCGAACCCACGCCCTCATGCACAAGAGGCGGGCCTTTAATTTTAAGCCACCACGAACTCATAATATTACTACATATCAAATAACCATTATATACGTAACTAATATTACGATAAATGCAAATACGATAAGTAATATTTACGTCAAAGATCTTTCAGGGTTTATAGTATAAAGAAGGAAAAATGAGAGGAATCTTCAAAAGGTGTCTACAAGGAAGCGAGATGAGTATGGTCAACATTTTCATGTCTTGAACATCCACATCTCGTCTGTCCGTGATCACGGTTGCTAAAAACTAAACGAAACAGCACCGAAAAGTAATAAAAAACGAGTAATAATATGAAAAAATAACTTTTATTTAAATTAAATAGAATATTTTTGTTAAAATAGATATGCTTAGCACAAATTAGCGTAGTCAAACAACATAAAAGCATAGAATATTATTTCTATGATAAGATATATGAATGAAAAACTATTAAGATACCGTATGTAGTGTGAAAATATGAACTTGAAATAAACTGATAAAAATCTTCAACAATTATACAGGATGAATTACTATCGATACTTGAGGACGTGATATTTGACGATCATATATGACAAAATAAAAATTAATATAACATAAATATTAATAAACTTCTAAGTAAAGTTAACCAAAAGTTATGTAATTAATTACGCATCGTGTGAACACCCTACAGATTAGGTATACACACACATACACACGCGCGTGCGGCGGCGTGGTGTTGTATCAGCACGCCGCCACACGCGTCCACACTTGGAACACTTGGAACGTGTCCACACTTTATTTATATATACGGAAATTTGGTCAAAAATTAAGTACCTATTTTTTTTAACATAATTCGAATGAGAATCATATACCGAGTATCCTCCTTAAATATTGATAGTAATTCACCAGTCACCCTGTATATCTTTATACATATGTAAAAGAATATCGTGTCAGTTACACTTTATTTTATAACTCAAGAACGTCTGGTCGGTTTGGGTCAAAATTGGTGGAGAAACAGATCAGAACATAGAAAGGACATAGGATACTTTTAAATTCGTTCGACAAAAAAGAAATTGCTAATAAAATCCAAAATCTGTTTAATTACTGCCTCTAAATGGAAACAGTTCGCGTGATCAGCTATACATTTCTAATAATAAAACTAAAGCGGTCAAAGTCGCGGACAAAAGCTAGTGTATTATAAATTTGGTTGTTTTAACACGGCCACTAAAAGAAACGTTTTTGATCAACTCCTTATACCTACTAGATAAACCCCGTCCCTTTATTTAAAAGTTAATTAATACCGGTACTTCACTTACATTTATATATTACATCCCATTATTATATCTATTTAAATACAAACTTTTATCTAAACCGGCTCAACAGTTCCAAAAAGGAACATTATAAAACAAATACGAGAATTGTACCGTTAAAAAGATTAGTATAAGTTTAATTTATTCAAATATTTACATACATAACTTTTCGTGAAATAATCTCCTTATAAAAAGTAAATATTGACGAATATCTAAGTAACATTTTTAATACATTACATAGAAATTCTTTTAACTATTCGACTCGTGTATAATATTTATAAGAATATACTTTTATTGTTAGTAATTCGTTCTGAATGTCTGTAGGGGCTACAATTGGTACACAAAGATTCGAATCTACGCTCTCTTCCTGCTCATAATAATGGTTCATGTACATCACGTTTACTCCAAGTCTGTGTCACACTACATACGATAAGTTTCGCGTTTATCAATCACATTTAATACAAGTAATAAGGTCAACTATTGTTAACGCTGCGTTCGTTGTGTCAGTGCAAAACTCGGAGTAAAGGTACTTTAATTCAATATGGTAACAAAACTTTGAATTTTTTCATGCAATAATAATATAACTATTAAAATAACTTTTATTCTTTTTTTACATTATATTTTCAAGATTTATATGTCTTTCTTTCGACTAAAAATTAAAGAAAAAAATTAAAAATTATTTCTTTAATTGATTTAAATTAAATAAAGATATTGCCATATATAAAATCATATATATACATTTAAGTTTCTTAAAATTCTATTCTATGTCTCTCTGGAATTATATTAAGTTTTATTTAAAAACTAAACAAGAAAATGCTTTTAAAGTAAAAGATAAAAGTGAGACACCATTAGAAGATTTAGAAGCTCCTATTACCATTCTAACGATGGAATCCATATTTATCAAACCGTTTCTTACATTAATTAATAATTAAAACATTTTACTAGTTCCCGCTTGTAATTTATTAATCTTAATACACCTGCTCCATTATTAAATTTGTTTTTTAACTGTTTATATTTTCAATTTCATATTAAATTATTTACTTTTAATTAAATAAAGGTATTTATTCTGTCAAATTATCTATGACAGATAAGCAAGCAAATGTCAAATTTTATCTGTGACATTTGATTTGTGTAAAAAGTATAAAAAAGAGGTTAATTTAAAGAGTTTTTTGTCGAAATATCTAATAATAGCGTAAATTTCTCACGGTCGTATCACAAATACAATATGTCCAACTCTTTTGTTACATTGTCGGTTAATTCATGGCTTTGTATATTATTCGCGCTGATTACAGACAATGAATTTTTAGGTTAAATTTATATGTAGTACGAAAAAGTAAAGGGATAATGTTATTTAAATATGTTTTTTGGAAGCTAGGGCACTTTAAAGTTTTTTATCACTGTAATAAATATATTTTTGAATTTATAAATGGGTTTGTTTGAATTAGTGACTTTTTATTTCTATACCTATATATACAAATATAAAACCCATAACACTTAACTATTTATATTTTAACTTCTACTTTAAATTGTTAACGATAGTTAATGCCACTTAACTAGTATAAATACAGATAATAATATAATTTAGTTACAATAATTGGTATAATAAAAAAATCTAATTTTCTCATACCGTAGAAACCATAAACAAACTAAGTTTTTTATGATATCGTAAAATGGTTGGCCCTTAAAATAAATTACTTAACCATAGACAACGAATAGTATAATGATAACCAAATTATAGTATATGATATTTGTATAGAAGTATTCACTATTTTTAAATTGAAGGCAGTATACAGTAACGGTAGTTTTGTTATTTTTTTTTAATACTATGGCTTCATTCGCACTGGAATCGTGGAATATTCTGCCAATTTCAATATTTTTATTTGTTGGACGAATTATTATCTTGAGTATTATGTTGAGAAAACACGAAGGAGTTTGTCAAATGGAGTATAGTTGTTTATTTGATAATACATATATATTTTTAAGAAGACTAGTAATATTTTTACCAGCATCCAGAACAACAAAAAGTATATAAATCCAAAAATCTTAGTTAGTATATTACAATTACTATAAAAATTATTTGACAATTATTTGACAGTTATGTCAAAAAAGGTTTGAATTGAACAGTTATAACAGAGTATAAATATGTCGTAATTTTAATTAAAAATGTAACATTATATTCGTTTCATTTTATATTATTTAGGCTGTTTATAATAATTAGTTTTTATAGATTTATGTATATAATATATATTTATAGGAAGCACTCTGAACAAGACATTTATTAAGTATAATAACTAAAAATATTACCAAGAAGAACTATTAGTGGGTGGCCATTTAATGAATAAATTTGGTAGTTTGTATTCTTGAGAAATGTTGAACATTTACCATGACTAATCTCGATTTAGTATACCACAATATAAAATAATAAAAAATCAAATAAAGTTATAAGTTTCGTTTTTCTAGCAACTTGGTATTTTTTGTTGCTTTAGACAACTATGTATGACAAGTTATAATATTAACGCGATTATTTTACTTAAATTTCAATTATAAACTAAATACTTACATTCATAATAAATGTAGAACAAAAAAATAAAAACTAACCAATATAATTTCAATTATATTTGAAAATTTATAAATAAAAATAGCTACAAAAAAATCATTTAATCTCTAACATATATAATTTTTTTATTGACGAGTAAAATTAAATAAAAAAGAATATACTCCCATTATAATAACTATTTAAATTTTAATGTTTAGTATAAAGGGAATAAAAAAGATAAAAAAACCCAAACGTGCTGTGAGCCTGCGCGGGCGCATTTTATTTATTTTCATGCAAATCAAAAACTTTTGAATGAAACGAATAAAAGCTGTGAATATTTTAATTATTTTATGTTTTTTTAACTTCATTCAATATATATTATTTCTCTTACCTTCGTGGTTAACATAGCAGGGCAATAACACACTGTCGTTTTCATATGTTTTGACAATAACTGGTACACTTTTGAACACTTTTTCACTTAAAACTAATTTTAAAATTAAAATAAATACAAATTTATATATTATATCCATCTTAAAATGATTTCAAAAATATTTTTTTATCTTTAAATCCCGTATCTTTCTTTTTATAACTAATTTTTCTTCACGTTTATTAGTTAATTTTTATTTAATAATAAAATATTTTATTTTATTTTAACTCCGCGTCAGATAACATCTGTACTCGTCTGCGCATACGCATACACTGAGCTTTACATTAATAAGTTACAGACACACTGGGTACATGATATTGGAATTAATTAATATTATTGAATATATTTTTTATTTTTTAGTAGAATATGTATCCAAACAAATAAATAGTTTAGCAATAAAAACGATTTTTAACATAAATAATAATGCACAAAAAATTCTGATAGTCCTATCACATAAATGACGTATTAAAATAAAACCTGAGTCCAAATATTAATTATCAATAGTTTTAAAAATACATAAATTGAAATATTTTAGCCAGTGGTGGCTTAGTGGTTAAAAGGCCCGCCTCTCATGCACGAGGGCGCAGGGTCGATCCTGGCAAGTACCAATGTGATTTTTACGAGTCAAATGTACTTTCTAAGAGTATTTAGACATCACTGATTAATGCATTCCCAAAGAAGGTTGATGTCAGGCGGCCGGTCGTAAAAACAATTAGCCAAAACTATTCACAACATGTAAGGCAGACCCTGGCTAAATCTGGGAAATTGTCAGGTAGAAGAGAAGATAGATTTAAATATATTAATTTAACAGATGTATCTACTCGTAAAACCCAGTGCGTCCACATCTTTACAGCATCCCGTCAATTAATTGATTCACCTTTATGAAGTCTTTGAGATTAGTCATTTAAGACTTGATACCACATGTCGTTTTACAAACACTTCCCCTTGCATACATCGTATTATTTAATATTTTACATTACTTTGTACTTACGTCAATAAAGTGTTAAAACTTAGAAACTATTTGCTTTTTAAGTGTGAAATTTATCAGGAATGTCGTTAATTTTTTAATTTGTGCTTTGAAAGTTTGTATGGGAATTAATTTTGAAAATAATTGTAAAGTTTAAGCAGCTTAATGAATTGTCAAAAATTAGTTTGAATTTTTTTGTAATTGCAACCCCACGGTTGACAAGTGGATGTGTCAATTTTGTGCGTCACTAAAATTAAATTAATTAAAGAGGCAGACCCTGGCTAAATCTGGGAAAAATTGCCAGGTAGAAGAAGACTAAAATTAAATTTAATATAATAATAAACGAAATTTTAATATTAGTCGTCAAAATTAATTTAATTTGTCTTCGATATTTTAGGTTAAATTTTGGAAATAGACAAGAGTTAATATTGCTTATTCATTTAACTGCAATTGTATTTTTTTAGTAAAATTATGTAAAAACAGCATTTTGACAATACTTATGTCTTCTTGAACGTTCTATAATAACTTTATGCTATGGCTTACTAACTTAATCGTTAATATAGTTATATATTTATCTGTAACAATTAATAACAATTCTTGACCAGTATTACAACTAAGAGTTTGAAACAAATTGTAGTATCAATAAATACATCGAAAACACTTTTACAGACATTTATAATACTTTAATTGCTTTCTCGTACTGTAGATAGAAATTATTAAACAATTTTTTAATAACTGGAACGTACAAAGAGTATGTAAAATATTCGATTATACGAATGTGTGAGGTAAATAATAATTTTATTGCATTATTCCCACAGAATTTAATAGCCGCTCAAACTTTGTCTGAAGTCAAATCCCTACTAATATTATAAATGCGAAAGTAACTCTGTCTGTCTGTTTGTTACGCTTTCACGCCTAAACCACTGAACTGATTTTAATGAAATTTGGTACAGAGATGGAGTTGATGTTAAGAAAGAACATAGGATAGTTTTTATCCCAGACTTTTGAAAGGTTCTCTTGGAAACGCGATATAACCGAACTCCACGCGGGCGCAGCTGCGGGCGGAAAGCTAGTAATATATATAACAAAACAAAACTAATTTACTTTTTTTGTTTAAGCAAAGTTCTCTGTGCTCTATTTCTAATACCAAACTAAAAAACAACAAAGATGAAAACAATGGGATACATATTCAATGGCGTAAAATAAATTTATCACTTCCCAACGAGACGTATGTACTCGATCTTTTTGTTTTTACTCCAGCCCAAAATACGGCATCAATATTAATGCGTGCTGTCAAAAAAACAATGCAATCATTATAATAGTATCGTCCATTTTAAAATAAACAGTTCAATCAAACCTTATATGAGATTTTATCAATGCGTCATGAGTTTGTATTTCATTTTTTTTATATTCAACCTTCTTGCTCTTAAATGAGTATTACTTATTATTGACATTTCGAAATGTCAATTTATTTAAGAACTAGCTTTAACCGCGACTTCGTCCTCATTTCCGTCGTTTTGAGTGAAAAAGTTTTTGATTCAGTGTTTTTTGATATGACAGATTAACTTTATATGATTTTTTTTATTGAATAGGTAATAATGTAAATATTTTTATTAGGGATGATTGAGAGTTTATAAACATAAGATTAAACAAATATAATCAGAAAGCTAAGAATTGCTGAGGTGTCGGGAGTTATCTACATCTGTTGTTGTAAATCGACCATAAAAGATAGACATATGGCAGGATATTTTAAATATAATTTTAAGGAGAATATTTCCGTCATATATGATTTCTATGTAGCTTTAACCTTTAAGGCTGTACACACGAAAGCTTATAATATGAAGTAATTTCTCCCGTTTTCCCAATATTCCTGTTCACTGTTCTGCTCCTATTGATATTAGCATGATGAAAAGTATACTATAACCTGCCCAAGAGTTTGAAGAATAATTGTACTAAGTTTCATTAAAATCCGTCGAATAGTTTTTGTTTCTATAATGAATATACAGACAGACAAAAATTTTCTGTTTGTATTTTTGACATCAATATCGATCACTAATAAATAGTTATTTTGAAAATATATTTCACGTACATTAAAATCTCTACAGATTTATTATCAGTACATAATTGCATATAGATGAAGATTTTAATGTGGTTTGATTATAAAAGTATTATGTTTGCCATAATAAAAATATATATTGTTTATTTTTCTATAACAACCCCTTTAATTTTCATCTTAATGTTCATTGAATAATTAGTTCACAAGCAATCTTTTCTTTTTTAAAAAAGCAATATTTTCTAAGGTTACGCAAATAAATTGACAATTATATGTCAATCTTCATGTTTAATGTAGATGTCAAAGACTACTAAATAATATTTAGTTTTTAAGAAATGTTAATGAAATTTTGGGTGTAACAATAAATAATATATTTAATACTAATAAATAGATTTCTCTGTTAATTCATTTTTTAACAATAGCTCATAAGCGCTTGATGTTATGTAAAGTGAGTGAGTGAGTGTTGTACCGTATTGTCGATAAATTAAATAAAGTGGCCCATTGATACAAGAAAGAGATTTACAATGAGAGAGACAGTCATCAACCTTCAGTAGAAAACTAAATACTGTCTTTTTTATTTAAACTATATAAACTTATATTAAGCCTTTGTTTATTTAATCTTTACTTACAAAAAAAAATCAATAAAAAAGTTCGTACTTTATTAAACAGGATAAGAATTAAACATTTTAAAACAATTGTTTTTAAATATTAACGATATTTTCATATTTGCTAGAGAAACTGTGTCAAAAACAAATTATTTGAAAATATGAATACCTATAGAAAAAGAAACAATAAAATTTTCTATAATTAATTTAAATTTTGGACGTTATTTTAGACCATACTTAATAAGTGTCTAAAAATTAATTTGACAAATTTTTTGGTATTTGGTAGCATGTCTGAAGGAAATGCCATTTTTTATAACAAAAATTATGAAGAATTATAAATATAATAAATTTAACCAGGGTCTGCCTTACATGTTGTGAATAGTTTTGGCTAATTGTTTTTACGACCGGCCGCCTGCCTGACATCAACCCTCTTTGGGAATGCATTAATCAGTGATGTCTAAATACTCTTAGAAAGTACATATGACTTGGAATAATCACATTGGTAAGTGCCAGGATCGAACCCGCGCCCTCTTGCATGAGAGGCCGGCCTTTTAACTACCAGGCCACCACTGACTTTTTAATTCTGTTTAAGTTATTCCCACAAAAAACTTTTCCCAAAGTATTATTATTCTTCTTCTACCTGGCAATTTTCAAACACTAGTCTTCCATCTCAGATGTAGAGAAATAGAATCTTCATGAAAAGTAGCTATACAAAATTTATAATCTGATTCTGCAGTAAAAGTAACTAATAACTTCTTTTTATAAGATGTAACTAATAACTAAATATATGTAATTCAATGTACATATAAAAGAAACAGATAATGTATGAAAATCTATCACAGTCATTTCTTGATTTTTTTTTGAAGCCAATAATGAAGCGTAATATTATAATTAAATAGGCAAATTAGAATTTTGATTGTTCAAAACCAGACACGAAGGCGTTGCTCGACAATAACACAAAACCGTGCTTCGTAAAGAAAAATTAAGAGTTCTTGTTTGATATAATTGGCTTCTGAGCGTTTGAATATTAACCGGTAGAGAGAGTGTGAAAATAGTTAATTTATATAGTTATATACCTTGATTGTTGTATGTCTTAAACTTGTCTGTATTTAAAAATGTCTTAAATAGTTTAAATTTCATCATATTTATTTATTTCAACAGACACACATATAAAAAACTTAAAAGTGATATCTTCTTAGAAAATAGGTTCTCACAATTCAGATTATTTTTAAATATTGCAACATCATTACAAAATGTCCGACGGTAAATGCCAAAGCGAATGTATTGAGCCGCCTTGCGCAAAGAAAATTAAAAAAGACGAACAAAATGATAACAGTGTAACAGAAACTGATTTAAAATTGAAAGACTTTATTCCAAGCAAGATTTTGAACAATAATACAAATAGAAAAACAGTTTGTGTGCTTGGAAATTTTAGAAACAAAAGTGGTGTGGCGTTAATAATTCTCGAGAAAAATGCTTTCAAAGAAGATCACTTAGACAGTAAGGGTTACTTTTCCGAAGATTGTGAGCTTGCAACGTTCTTTCAGAACGATATTTACGGAAATTTTGAGTGTTTCCCGAAACCTGAAATTAACGGTAAGTAATCATATGTAAAGTAGATAAAACGTCATTACCATTTACTTTCGAATTTCAAGGGTTTGTCGTAAAATTTGTCAGTCGTGATGCTAATATTTATTTTTATCATTCCGCAAAGTATTTTACGTGTCATTATGACGTCACGGTTCCAGTGTTTATAAAAGCTTTGTTCTTTTGTATGAATTAAATAGAATTTTTCTAATTTATGCGTTGATAAAAATATCATTACCCTAATGAGTTCTGGTGATTAAGTGAGCTAGTATTGTTATTACTCACTCATCTACTATCTTAATCTGACCTTAAGTTAAATCTATTTTAATACATATTTTATTTAAATTTATCCATATGCTTGACGAAATTTCACACATCAACACTATCTATAGTTATTTAGAGAGTTTTTTGAAACTTTTATTAAAGTACTAATAATATAATTATATACAGGTGTGAAGACAACTATTATTTATCCAGCCAGCGACAAACATATAGCAAAATTCAGTCAACAACAAGTCCACATAATATTGGAAACTCCGGAGTGTTATAATAAACTAACATTACCACATATTGAAAAGGAACAATTGAGATTACAGGTAAGTCAAAAAAAAACATGAAAATTATTGGAAAAAGAAATTATGTTAAAGAATGATAGTTTTTTCAAATATTAGGAATCAATTACTATAATTTAAACTACTATATAAAACTTATCAAGTTTTTTAAGTATCTATAATTGCCATTACAATTTTTTAATGTCTACAATAAGATCTACCAGATATAAACCATTTTGATTTAACTATTCCAGTGGGTATACAACATATTGGAAGGAAAAAGCGAGCAAGACAGAATAGTACATGACAATAAATGTGAAACGGAGGGGTTTGTTTTAGTTCTGGATCTTAAGTGGGACGGTATTACTAAAGAAACACTCTATTTACTGGCAATTGTTAGACAGAGAAATATTAAATCATTGAGAGATTTGAATGAAACACATTTGCCGTTACTGAAAAGGATTCGAGACGAGGGAAAGGTATAAATACTTTATAATATATTATTATTATTTTATTAATAATTTCTCAATATTTTGTATAGTGGAAAAAACTTTGTAGTGTAGTTTGTACACAAAATTGCTAGAATCAAGTCTAGAAACTTAAAAATTGTAACTTTATATATATAATTAAGAAATTCATATCGTTACATTAATCATTTTGTTAGTTATAAGACATGAGAGTTTCTCTGTAATCTTCTATATATATAAAAATGGATTGCTGTTCCTTAGTCTCGCTAAAACTCGAGAACAGCTGAACGGATTTATCTTATCTTAGTCTTGAAATGTTCGTGGAGGTTCAGGGAAGGTATAAAAGCTGAAAGAAATTGTTTTATTACTGGAAAAATCATAAAAACAGCCCTTTTCTATTTCCCATACAAACGTATTTTTTGACATTAGATTTGACAACTAATATGTCAATGATTCTGTCGCACTTCAAAACACGTAGATTATTTATGGCTTACAGGTAAACTCCAAAAATATAAATAAAAAACGTAATAGATATTTCTTGATTATAGGGCGATACGAAGTTCGCCAGGTCTTCTAGTTGTTTAATATATATTTTTAATTTCAGAAAGCAATTTTTGATAAATACAAAGTAATCGGCAGTCAGTTAAGAATCTATCTACACTATCAACCCTCGTTTTATCATCTACACATACATTTCACTTACCTCCGACACGAAGCGCCCGGAATATATGCTGAGAAGTCACATTTACTCGACACAGTTATCAATAATATTGAAATGATGGGTGATTATTATCAAAAAGCAACTTTACCGTTCTGTAAAGGCGAAATCGATTCACTGTTCAATGTATATGAAACAAATGGTTATGTTACTAAGATTCAAACGGACGAACTTATTGATAAATAGTGTTAAGTAATTCATTAATCGTAAGCAAAATGTTGGTTAAAAATGTGTTGATGGAGTTACGCAGTCGTCTGAGAAGTTGTAACGTTTATATAACTACAAATGTAGATTTTAAAAAAGATTGTAATTTGAAAATTTGTATACAGTCGAATTGTATTTTAATTAATTATTATGATAATGAAAGAGATAGTTTATCATCCATCGAGAGTCTGTCGGATTGTTCCGAAGATGAATCAAATGTATCATGCTCGATACCGATACATGAATTCTGTTATATCATACCGAACTCAATGTCCTGCCTTAAGATTGAGAAGAACACCATATCATTTAGGATATTGACCGAACCAAAGAATGGTGGTAATTTTTATTCTGAATTTCTAACTCCGATTGAAAATAAAGAAATTAAAATAAGCAAACTGAATTTAAACATAAAAGAGTCGGAAGAAGTCAAAATAGTTTGTGGCAACTGTTCGAATGTTGTGTCGAATGATTTTGTAAAATTTGATAGAATATTAGAATTACCGACATCAAATTTGGATATGTCGGAGTGGTTTTGCCACGGGCATAGCCACGATAAGAATATAAGTATAACACCTGAAATTTTAAAACCAAACAAACAAGATTTCCTCTACAGACTGACCTATTTTGTTGTTAATAACAAAATATTATCAGATAAGATCAATAAATTCAATTCAAAACGCTCCATCTATCATTGCAATAGATGTTTAGCATGGCTCGGCATCAAGAATAAGGAGACAGTTAAATTATACAATTCAGATGTTAAGTTAGAACATGATAATAATAATATTCATGTCTTCACTCATTCTACATCGGTACAAAATATAAGTACAGATGATTTTATATACACTATAGAATGTATGATCCAGGAATTCAATCTTGGTCTGCAATACACTATGATGTGTAAAATTGTACTGGAATGTACTATTTCAGCAACAAACAAACAATATTTATTGATATGGGTGATGGATAAAGAGTTGCAAGTCTTAAGAAATAGTGAAAAACAAGAATGTTCAGATCAAATTGTACTACAATCAAGTTTTTTAACTAAAATTTTGTATAAGATTGAATTGGAATGTAACGATGAGGTTGAAAATTGGTTGGCTGACCCAACCGTTGTTAATACAGACATCTCGAAAACTATGTTCTTTTATGGAATCGAACATTTAAAGCAAATGTCAATGAAGGTACCAGAATCATTCCGATATACAAACGGATACTGTATAAGTTTCTTAAAAGTTTAATAAATAAAATTATTTGATTTAGATATTTGAGTTGTTTTTTTTAAACTGAAATAATAGCTGTATAAACAATAAATATGTTTAATTTTAGTCTTAGCAATAACAATCTTAAACCAATAGCAAATCTTCATAAGTAACAGTCATAAAAAAATACTACCAATCTCTTGTAATTTGTTTTAAAAATTAATATGGTAAATTCAATAATTATACTTATACACTCACATGGATTCATGGTGGAATTTACAATAAAAATACCCAATAAATTTTCCTTATTTCAAACACATTATGGGAAACCAAGGAAATAATTTATTTATCCTTTAATACAACAACAATATAATATCTTAATACATAACAATTAGTTTTATGATTTAATTTCCTCAACATTTGATGAAAACCGCAGCTGAGAGATGCCATTCACGATGATTGAGGAATTGAAATACCAGAAAATTACAAAGAAGAGCCCGAATAATATATCTGATGTAGAGTTAAGGATATAATATGCTATAAAAACAATAAAAATAACTTAAAATACTGTGATCAAAAGATATGTTGGTTTTTACACATATTTTATATTAAAATTATATTTAATACTTATTAATATACACATTTTAATACAATTACATACTTATAGTACTATTGATGTCTTTAAAAAGAATTTTACAACATTCTTCTAAAAGAAAAGTAACAAGTGTACACATCTCCGCCAGCAATTATTGCTGAAAAATATAGGTCAAATGAATTCACACAATCGATTCAAATGATGTAATTGATTCCAAAAACACTTTATCACGGTTGAGAGTAATTCACTTAAATAACAAACAAACACTATTATATTGTCTTTGTAGTAGTATTCAAGCCATTTTACTATAAGAATGATAAGCAATTCTAACTTACGTTAAATACAAGTCATATTTTTTAGATTATTTATAAAAAGGATACGAATAAATATCTTTTCCCAGGGCTCCACCATGTATAATTCGGTCGCTGTTAAATATCTAATGTACCAGCTACTTATTAACTTACGAAATCTGTTTATTAAATCCATGATTGATATCACAAATATAAAACCTTTTCAAAGCAGAGTAGGAATGTAAATGAAGCTTCAGTTCGTTTCGATTAAAGTCCTTTATATTGCACGATATATCAAATAGTAACACCTCAAGGCACAATGTTGATAATTTTGACGTTTAGCGTCATAACACCACTGACGGCCGTTTGTTTTTGTGTTGGATTCAGGTGTATTGGTATATGTATATGAAAATAATATCTGGTGTATGTTTATACTGACGTTAGGGAAAAATTTTGGTACATAAATAAGGTATCTTTATTATAATGTTTATGGTGAATTTACGTAATGATTCTATATATTAAATAATTAATTTAATAAAGTACATAATCCTTATCAGGGTTTTGCATATAAAATAACAATTCAACCAGAATTAAGAATACTTTTTATGAATAATAAAAAATACCATATGAAACCACCATTGTACTTTAGTTCCAAAAGCTCGTGTTATTTGAGAATTAGAATTAGTTAGAAAAAGTCATATTTAGCCTCAAAGTCATACTGTTCATTTCAGAATATTGAATGATAATAAAAAGACGATCGGTTTGTATAATAGTGATTTATTAATTTGTTAAGAAGTGACCTTACAGTAATATTGGTATCAGCGATATCGCAAGCCTTATAATTATTTTATACACTGGTACAATCCTTACTATTTCATCTTAACAACTATCAAACATAAATGCAGTGTTATATAAAAAATAAAACTGATTTACATAGAGGAACGGTTGATGAGATTTTTTCCTATGAAAAGCAAGCAAAATTATTTACATTAAGTAACTGCACCTCGTCTATTCGATTTGTGGCAATGTAAAGTTGCCAGAACGGTAACATTATAAGTGCAGATTTAATGCGTTTATTAATATATTTATATATATGGTAAATTTCTTGTATCAGTCTTATACAAGGCACCGATTATTATTATAATTTGTTTTATATATCAATTGGCACTTTTTATTGTCTGAATAATTTAGAATACTGTTTATAGGAAGCATGCAGATATATTTATCATTAAATATATTATAAAAATGTATATATAGTATATCTTAAATACAATCAATTCCTGATCACATATCATATAATGGTGAATAATATATTTCCATTACAAATACAATGTAAAAGTAAATATAATTATTATCTTCATTTCATACATAATCATGTAATAATTATAGTATTATATAAATTTATTCAAGACACAGACCAATAAAAGCTGCCGCAATTCCATTAATGTGACAGTACTTAATAAAAACATTGTTTTAAAACAAAAATACTGAAATAAAACCCCATTACTATAAGACAATTGTTTTAAAATATTCATAAAATATATCAACTATAAGTATATTTCGAAGAAATACAGAAACTTACAGTCGAATGAAAATTTCAAATAAAATAAATTGAGATATTATAATTGTATCTCAAATTTGAAAACTGTTACCACCGCTCAGTTATTTCAAACTCGAGCGTGTTCCCGATGCTCAGTATCTTATCCGAATGCTCAATTCTACTCCAAATACTCAGTATAACCCTGAGCGCCGGTAAATATGACATCTATCCATATCCTCGCTGCTTCACCAGATGGCGCCATGAGGTAATAACGTCTTTGTTTTGTCTTTACTATGAATGTGGTTTGAGGGCTCGGGGACTTGGAAGTATTCCCATGGTCTAGATATACTTCTTCTATTACCTGGAAAAAAAATACATTACTATATAATATGTAGTATATAAAATATGTTACATATGAAAATTATTAATTTATATTAAAGAAGTTTAAGCTTAATAAAAATGAATTTTATTCATGAGACGGTTAAGTTGAAATCATCTTTTCATGATATCTATAAGCCAATATATAAATTTTTGTTGCAATAAAAGTTCTATTTTTGGTTTAAATTACTTTTTTGTTTTTAGTATTCTTACATAAAGATGCAGCAATCAGAAAAATTCCTTATAATTATTTTATGGTGGAAATTCCAATAGAAGAGAAATTGTTATATAACGAATTACATTATAAGGGAATTTAGTTAATTTTATAAGACATAGGACACATGAATGAACGAGTGAATGAATGAATGATGAAGTGAATGATATTTTACTTGGAAGTAAGCTCCTCCTCTCGGTTTCCGCTCACTTTTATCCCAGTAGTAAACGAATGTTTTCGATTCCCTATCGAAAACAAACCACCTGAAATAATAAATTATATATTAAATAACACCATCTTCTTTGGAAGTTGGATAGAAGTTAACTCAAATTTTAACTGTACTTATATGTTATTTCAAGTTAAAAATATTTTATGTTTATATGTATTTAATTATAGTTAGAAAAGTTACCTTTTGGACCAGGTGTGGAACTTCGCCCCCAGTTTGTGTAAATATCCGCGACATGAACTAGACGATACGCTCACGTAGGGGCACAGCTCGATCTGGTGACCTAGACATTCATCATATTACCCACCATCACATATAAAAGTAGCGTGGCGGGTGATGCACGAAATACAATATTGCACAAACTTTATAAATTTTATTATATCTCATCGAGTTATTGAAATTCCATACCATTAAATGGTATTACAAAAAAAATATGTTATTGATATAGTATAAAGAAATATTTTGTCCATTATAAAAATTCTAAAAATAGTATTTTCATTTGTAATTGTCAGAATGACAATAATATTTAGACAGAGTCGTAAATCAGTTGAAATTATAAAATGAATAGTCCATAAAAGTCACTGTGGTATTTCACTATTAATAGTCCTATATATATTTTAAGTGTCATAATTCATCTTAAAGGAAATAATCGTTCATCATGAGAAGACGTTAAAGTTAGTGCAAAGACTTTTCGGTTTATTATTGTTTGAAACATATTTGAAATATGCGTTATCTATAGATTGTTTGTATTAAGATGGATTTCGTTTAAGACTATCTCCTTTGTGTTTGTGGACACTTTTACCACGAGTTTTCATAATGAAACTACATATTATATAGTCACTGTTAGTATTGATAAAACTACGATATTAACGTGTGAGGAGATGTATATATCAGTGGCGGCTGGTGGGTTATCGAACTGGTGGTGCACTTTACTAAAATATTAAAATTAGAAAATGCAACAAAACATAACGAAATGTCAAAAACGGCTCAATTCGTCATACATCGGGTGCTCTCGGTAACCTTCGGCCGCTTCGTGCGGCGCTCGAGAACCGACTCGTTACTCGGTACATTTCTATGAACTATCTTTTGTCTCACGCGTCAGGCGTATTAATGCGTATCTCATACAAGATGTATTAGCAGTCCTCGTGCACTCGCCGAAGCGCACGAGATATTAGTTTAGTAAAGCGCTCAAACTTTTTGACTATAATTAGAAATTTAATTTTTTATACGTTTTTGTATATTTAGAAAATAAATATTAAAATGGTAATTTAAAAATAAAGATGAAGTAATATTTTGTAATTTTTAAATCTTTTGAATTGGTGGTTCAGCACACGAGTGCACTTAAGGTACAGCCGCCACTGGTATATAGTGTGATAATGGAAACTTGTAGCAAGAAAACTGTTTATATGTGTGTGTGTTTGCGCATGCGTATGTATGGGAGTATGTATGTGTGTGTTTGAGAATATTAGTGCATGTGTGAGTCAGTGGTGGCCTAGTGGTTAGAGGATCCGCCTCTCATGCATGAGGGCGCGAGTTCGATCCTGGCAAGTACCAATGTAGTTTTTCCGAGTCATATGTACTTTGTAATAGTATTTAGACATCACTGATTAATGTATTCCCAAAGAGGGTTGATGTCAGGCAGGCGGCCGGTCGTAAAAACAATTCACAACATTTAAGGCAGACCCTAGCCAAAGCTGGGAAATTGCCAGGTAGAAGAAGAAGTGCATGTGTGTGTGTCTATGCTTGTGTTTATGCATGTGTGTGTGTGTATATTTATTTACCAGCGGACTCGACGTGTGTCCGTAGATCAAAGTCCTCTCTATCAACAGGCAGGTACCTGGTGAGTGGTCTCCTCCATTCAGCTGATACACTGACACCGCGGCGACTGCGGCGCGGTGCGTTCGACACTAGACGAACATAAATTATATATACAGGGTGACTGGTGAATTACTATCGATACTTGAGGACGTGATATTTGACGATCATATATGACAAAATAAAAATTAATATAACATAAATATTAATAAACTTCTAAGTAAAGTTAACCAAAAGTTATGAAATTAAATACGCATCGTGTGAACACCCTACAGATTAGGTATACACACACACACACACTCGCGCGCGGCGGCGTGGTGTTGTATCAACACGCCGCCGCACGCGTCCACACTTGGAACACTTGGAAAGTGTCCACACTTTATTTATTTATACGGAAATTTGGTCAAAAATTAAGTACCTATTTTTTTTACATAATTCGAATGAGAATCATGTACCGAGTATTCTCCTTAAATATTGATAGTAATTCACCAGTCACCCTGTATATTGGAAACTCCTTGTATATACTACATACAGTTAAAATCAGATGAAACGGAATAACTAAGTTTAATACTGAGCTTTTCGGATACCAAACGTTTTTATAATTTTGTAAATACATATACAGATCTAAGATTTTCGCAAGTTGTTAGTCGGGAGTATTTAGTTTTTTCCAAAAATAAAGTGGCTTAGTATAATCCGAAAAATATAAGTGTCTTTTAAATGAACTACATAATCTCTTTATGTATGTTTGTACTACATTTTCATCTCGTCTGTCCGTTATCACGGTTGCTGAAAACTGAACCGAAGGAACCGAAGCATCGGGAGTATGTAGTTCCGAAAAAAGTATCCGAGAAGATCGTTTAATTATTTTTTTTATGGGAAAAGGGGGCAACCGAGCAGACGGCCTACTTGATGGTAGGTAGTTACCGTCGCCCATGGACATCCGCAACGTAGATTTGCGGATACGTTGCCGCCCTCGATTGGGGAAAAGGGGGAGGAAAAGGTGGGAAAGGGAGGAAAGGAAAGCGTAGGAAGAGGGAAAGGGCAACCGGCTCTCTCACTCATTGGACGCAGCCATTAAAGACTACTTCACGCCGGTCTGCTGTGAGAGGGTTGTACTTCCTCGGTCGAGACAGACCATGTTCGAGCTGTAGTCAATGACCACAGCTAGGCTCTACCACCTTAAAGATTCTCGTTTCCATAGGTGAGTTTCAATAGTAATTATTCTTACGTATATCTCTGCTGAAGTCTGAAGCGTGACTGAGTGGCCTGCTGTCATCGCTACGCCGGTCTTCTTCTGTTGATTCGGTGCGAGAGTTACGTACTTGTAGCTAGAGAAAACATACATACATACATTAATTAATAAGTCATGATAGCCTAGTGGTTAAAGGCCCGCATATCGTGCATGAGCGCGGGTTTGATCCTGGCAAGTACCAATGTGATTTTTCTTATTCATATGTACTTTATTATTAGTATTTAGATATCACGTACAGATGAAGGAAAAACATGGTTAGGAAACTTGGATTTATAATTTCAAATTGTAAGTTTTAAATCGCCAACCCGTCTTGAGCAAGCGTGGTGATTAATGCTCAAACCTTCTCCATGGGAGAAGAGGATTTTGCTCAGCAGTGGGCTGTGATAGGATGATGATGATAAAGATTATATATTAATTAAATTCGACATTCTGAGATCTGGGAAGTTGCTTCTAGCAGATTTTATTATAGGTTTCCATTATATATTGATTATGAAAGATAAAATTAAACACTTGCATACATTATACGAGCTTTTACGAAAACGCTGAGTTAAATTACTTAATACTTTGAATTTGACATTACGTTAACAATATTTTATATATTTATATATATATAAATATACATACAAATTCTTACAAATTACATACAAATTCTTAATATTATATATAATATTAAAATATTAAATCTTTCCTGAGTCAATTAAATATATTTGTACATGAATAATATTATATATTTTATTATACATCTATAATTTTTATAGCTGATACATAAATTTAATAAAAATGTTTCAATTTATAACACCGCCATTAAAACCCATTTTCTTATTATTTTATTTAATATATATATTAAATAACTTACTAGTAAAGGTTTAGGGTAGTCTAGACTGGAACGCGTTGCTTTTATTAATGTGATCCACATAGACATAATGTTGAGGACATTTGGATCACTTGTATATTATAATGCACTTCAATGTTCACTTACTACACTTTAATATGTATAATTAATGGAAATAATTATGGTTTACAGCATATGGAAGTTACTATTAAAAGTTATATTAAGACAAACATATATAGCTTCGCCCGCGTGGAGTTCGGTTATATCGCGTTTCCAAGAGAACCTTTCATAAATCTGGGATAAAAACTATCCTATGTTATTTCTCGAGGTCAAATCTATGTCTGTACCAAACTTCATTAAAATCAGTTCAGTGGTTTATCAGTGAAAGCGTAACAGACAGACAGACAGAGTTACTTTCGCATTTATAATATTATTAGTAGGGATGATATAAAATTAGTACTGATGATTTAGATAGTAGCAATGTACGTGGGCGATGAATACATTAATTTATTAGCGGATGAAAACACTTTAATATATGTATATATTAATATAACAAATATTTAATTTTATGATAGGTGACACTGTCAGAGAATTGTTTGAATTTTGGATTTATATGTTAATCTTATATATAAAAGAAAGTCGTGTTAGTTACACTATTTATAATTCTAATAGCTGTACGGGTTTGGATGGAAATTGGTGGAGAGATAGATTAGAACATAGAAAGGACATAGGATATCTTTTAAATTCGTTCCATCAAAAGATTTACAAATAAAATCCAAAATCTGTTTGTTTACTGCGTCTAAATCGAAACATTTCGCCTTGTCAGCTATACATTTCTAATTCTGAAACTAACGTGGACAAAGTCGCGGGCAAAAACTAGTAATATATAATTATTTACCAACTTTAAAGTTTATTTATATCTGGAAATATATAGTAATATATTTGTGTTATTAATGAGTAAGGTATGATGAATAGACTGATAAGAATATGTGATTCAACTGTAATTCTGTGAGTTTAGTACATATTTGAGTATTTGAGTAATTTTATTTCAGTACACACACACGCACGCACACACACACACACACACACACACACACACACAATACACAAAATGATAGACATAAAAGCTAACAACATAATATTAGGTAAATTCACAATCTTATCTATGACACATATGTACATGTTGAATGTACTGGGTTTGCTTACAAAAAACATTATTATTTGTATCACATGTATATATTATGAATAACGAACTTTTCACTTTATTTATTCATTAGTATGTACTTAAACCATTATAAAAAAAACCTTGAAGTATTAAAAAAAATTAACAAACCCTACTAGTATTATTATCAACGTCAGTTTGTAAGTACATATATGTTTGTTACTTCTTAACGTTAAAACCACTGAATTGATTTTGATGAAACTTCACAGTAATATAGTTTGGTTATCAGAGTAAAACATAGGCTATAATTTATCCTGGTTATTAACGCATGATAGTTATATTCAATGTAAAGTCTCGTGACACACGATAAATGTTGCTTACAGACGGTTACTACATGTTCTATTGTTCTAACATACTTTATTCTTTAAGCGCTACTCTGATGTTCAAGCAGACGAAGTCGCGGGGAAATACTAGTCATATAATAATTCAAATCTTTGACTGTTATGTTATAATTGTGCCAAGCTCTTGTAGCTATATAATTTTTTATTATAGTTTATGTTTTATTATATTCAAACATACATACATATATTTATAAAGCAAGAACAGCTGTAGAAATTTAGTTGAAAATTAGTGGAGAGATATATTAGAACCAGGAGACGGACATAGGATATTTAATTCAATTCGATCGAATAGGAAAAAACTTATAAATTCCAATATCTGGTTATTTACAGCCTCTAGAAGGGAATAGAGTTCGTCAGGTCAGCTATACATATATTACTAATATTGAAATTGACCCGGACAAAGTCACGGGCGAAAACTAGTTAATTATAAACGCTATTATCTGGCAAGAGTTATAACAGAACGACTTTATGTTTCCCAAAGAGGGTTGATGTCAGGCAGTCGGCCGGTAGTAAAAACAATTAGCCAAAACTATTCACAACATGTAAGGCAGACCCTGGCTAAAGCTGGGAAATTGCCAGGTAGAAGAAGAAGAAAAGACTGCATGTTCGCGAGACAATAAACATCTTTAACGAAATTATTACGTTTCTAAATACGTTTTTTAAACATTTGCGTTCAAGATCAAGAAGAAATTATTTATTTTGTACATTTTAACCGACTTCAAAAGAGTTGAGTGTGTATAATTATATATTTTATGTGTATAATGTATATAAAATCCAATTTTATTGTTATGTATAATTTTCATGTTAATTTATTTGAATCACACGGTAATATCTTTTTAACATCAACGCTGTTTAAATTTATAGTGAAAATTTAAATAAACTTGTCATTTAATGTTCTTTTAATATTATTTCTTTAAGTGAGTTTATTTCTAAATATTTTATGACTAGCCATAAAACTAATATGTTTTATATAAGATACTAGCTTTCCGCCCGCAGCTTCGCCCGCGTGGAGTTCGATTATATCGCGTTTCCAAGAGAACCTTTCAAAAGTCTGGGATAATAACTATCCTATGTTCTTTCTCAACGTCAACTCTATGTCTGTACCGAATTTCATTAAAATCAGTTCAGTGGTTTAGGCGTGAAAGCGTAACAAACAGACAGACAGAGTTACTTTCGCATTTATAATATTAGTAGGGATTAATATAACAAAAAAAGATTTTTATTTCATTACATTATCGTAGATAAAAGTTACGAAATATTTTTATTTTGCAAAAAAATTTTGACGTGATGTGTATTTTTTTTTGCGTCGAAAATATCAAATCTGCGGAGATTCAGTCAAGGTCGGTAAAGATTTCTATGGACGGATTTATATAATACTTTCGTACGGTTTTATTTACATGAAACATGTGTTTAATGATTGGGTGAGTTTAAAATAAAACCATTATTAAATAGGCAGTTCGTTTGGGCTTTATGTATGTGTGTGTGTGTGTGTGTGTGTGTGTAAACTTTTACATAATTTGAGTATTGTGTTATAACGATTATTGCTGGCTAAAAAATGCAAACGGAAAATGTGATTAAAATATTATTAAAAGACGTGTATGATAATTGAATGATTAATTATTTTTTCAAGTTTTTCAATCAATCAATCTGTTCAAAAACCTGCACAATATTTTCAGCTGACACCGCATAATAGATGAGACACGAATAATTCTCTTATATATAGAATAAAGTCACAAAAATATCTATATTAAAATAGAAATGTCATTATTTTTGAAGTTTAGTGACAATACGCACATTGACAAATCTTCACGTATTGACGTTTTATTATACATATATGTGTGTGTGAGTCATGGTTGTGTGTGTAATATTGTATTTTTAATATACTTCATATAAAGAAATAGCTTAACGCATTTCGCAATATACACTTTAAATGTTAACTTCTATGTTTTTTCCTTCATATATTTATTTTATAAAAAGGAATACAAATCTATGTTTTCAGATATTAATATTATAACATAAATTTAATTCTTTCTTAGTATAAGTCATTGTATTGTATACAAAATATAATCATTTAAAACGATTATAGTTCAAAATAGAAAATTATTTAGAAGCAAGTGTTTAAACGTTGGCTATTTTTGCTTCAATTCTAAATACATCAATCATATATCATCGAAAATACCTAATAGATAACGTTTTATCACATTACTTTGAAATACCCAATTTTCGTCTTCATCAAAGATAACTGAATAATCCCTACTAATATTATTAATGCGAAAGTAACTCTGTCTGTCTGTCTGTTACGCTTTCACGCCTAAACCACTGAACTGATTTTAATAAAATTTGGTACAGACATACAGTTGACCTTGAGAAAGGATATAGTATAGTTTTTATCAAAGACTTTTCAAAGGTTCTCTTAGAAACGCGATATTTACCGAACTCCAAGCGGGCGAAGCTGCGGCCGGAAAGCTAGTAGAATAATAAAATGTATAATGAAAACTCAAAATACATTACGAAAAATTCATATGACTCGTACTAAAGGATTTCAGAAATAAAATTTACGACAATAGCGACGCACGAAAATACTCCGACTTGAAAAATATCTATTTTTTATTCAAGAATTATTCTTATGCCGGCCACACACGCTACGGTCTACCGGAGAGGTTCACCTGTGCTAGTAGACCGGAATGTGTGTGAGAATAGACCTGTGCAGTTTTTTGAATGCATTGTTTGGTGACTTGCACAGGCATACCTGCACAGAGTACCTATCCGGTATTCCGTAGTGTATGGCCGGCATTACATAGATATGCATGTGAAAAATCCAAGTGTGATTTGATTTAAACACTTAATATTACTAATATAAGATCGCTATTTGAATACAGGCAAGATTAATTGGATGAAGTTTTTTTGATAACACTTCTGTATTTATGAAAAAATAAAATATATTTTTAATGATTTATCATCTACAAATAGTAGAATATTTTATAACATGATTATTGAAGACCGAAATAATTTTCGTTACTCATAAATGTCTGTTAACATATATGTATGTCTGTTTTAGTGTTATATCGTATTTTACACATAATTTCACTTCGCCCGACCTCATTTTCGCACCAAACTATTGTTTAATGATCCCCATATACACGTCTTCCGCGTTTTAACAGTGACGCATCATATACATACAAACAACAAAACATGAAAACTATATTATTTATGTTAATGACCCACGTGGATATTGTTTACAGATGTTTTGGTATGAGTATTTTTGATTTCGACGTGGGAAGGATTATTTGGATGGTTCTTGGGTTGAAAAACTATATTGACGTCTCAGTTTGGAGATAAAACGAATTGTATAATCTTTTATACTGTAATGGGTTCTCATATGTAATGGGTTTTGATTAGTGATAAGCTTAAGCTATAAAATAAGATATTATTTTCATCACAATTAAATTGTTACACATCTCGTCTTCGGTAGTATGTAGTTTTTTACAATAATAAAGCGCGTAGTATATCCCAAAAACATTAGTTTTAATAAATAAATTGTCATTTTTTTGTAAACTATAATGCAAATACAATTACTGACTTACTAGTAGTAAACTAAACACACGTTTGTATCAACACTACATACGTTCAGTTTACCGTTTCTGATTAACTAACCAACGTTAAAACTGTTATCGCTACTAATATTATAAATGCGAAACTCTGTCTGTCTGTCTGTTACGCTTTCACGCCTAAACCACTGAACTGATTTTAATGAAATTTGGTACAGAGATGGAGTTAACCTTGAGAAAGGATATAGGATTGTTTTTATCTCATACTTTTGAAAGGTTCTCTTGGAAACGCGATATAATCGAACTCCACGCGGGCGAAGCTATATGCGGAAAGCTAGTTAATATTTACGAATGAAACACTCTTAAACTTCCGTATGTATTGTGATGAAAACTAGTGGTAAGCACACAAGTGATATATGGATTTTAGACATTAGGTTAATTGTGTACCTACTCGTCTTTTTACTATGAAAATTAATTAAGAAATTCTTGGGTGTTGGCATTGATCTTGGTCAAGAGTGACGTGTCATTGGAATGTGTTCTGGCATTTAATGCCAGTAAGTCTGTCTGATTGTTCATGATGTAAAAGGAAGAGGGGAATGACAATCGTTCTCAAGATAACTTCAGTGAGGATGAAATTATCTTAAGAATTATATAACAAGGATACTTCTTAGACTTCCTTGTATAGAGAAACATATACGTATATTTTTAAACGACAAAGTTATATTAGAATTTATGTCATTCTCGCAAAAATAGTTGAAAGAATTTTGATAATTTTTACTATGTATAATCGATATAGCAAAACAAATTCTACGAGAAGAATTTTATATAATTAATTGGTAATTTTAATAGCTTTGAAAATAATGTATAATACGATTGAATTCCATATTAAATAAATAAAAATAATATGTTTGATAAATTCAAGATAATATTACTCTTCAGTTTCTTATATTAAATAAGATCAAATTCAAATATTTATAATAGTTCAAAATGAACAATTTATATTGTATAAGAGCTATTTGTTAATCATTACTAAATTAATTAATATTCCTAAATATATGTATATAATTTTCATAATATTATAATAAATATTTACGAAGTCAGAATACTACAAATATCCACACATAACAGCGAGTAAAGCACTTGAATTTATACTAGTTAAAAAAATAGTTGAATAAGGTAAATTAAAATTACAGTTCAAATAACACAACACAATCGTCTTCACAAGCGCGTACCGACATACTAATTGAAAATTCTTATTTTAGTTTTCGTGAATGGTGGGCGGTACTATATATATATATATATATATATATATATATATATATATATATATATATATATTTGTATTCTGATGTTTTATGTATGTAATAATTGAGATTAATTTGTTAAGTATATATGTAAAATTATATTTTATATCTTCTTCTACCTGGCAATTTCCCAGCTTTGGCCAGGGTCTGCCTTACATGTTGTGAATAGTTTTGGCTAATTGTTTTTTACGACCGGCCGCCTGACATCAACCCTCTTTGGGAATGCATTAATCAGTGATGTCTAAATACTCCTAGAAAGTACATATGACTCGGAAAAATCACATTGGTACTTGCCAGGACCAGGATCGAACCCGCGCCCTCATGCATGAGAGACGGGCCTTTTAACGTTTTTATATTATATTTATTCAACATTATCTTAAAACATTATTATTTTAGTCGAATTATCCAAAATTAAAATTTAGCATAAAGTGTACTTGTGTATCAATTAATTTATCATAATAGCAATTGTATCTACTTTTTGTGTAATAAAAGTTTTAGATGTATAGATTTCTTCCATAGATGAAAAATTTTATATTTCTTTCATTTTCTAGTAGTAGTATTCATGGTACTACAAGTAGCAAGTAGAAATTATGCTCGTTAATTATTAGTATCACAATATTAAATATTCATAATATATATATAAATAAAATTATGTTAAAGAATTTATTACTAGATGAAAAATAAATAAGAAAATATATTAATACTAGAAGACCCGGCGAACTTCGTATCGCCCTATAATCAAGGAATATCTATTACGTTTTTTATTTATATTTTTGGAGTTTACCTATCAAAGCCATAAATCTCCGTGTTTTGAAGTGCGACAGAATGATTAACATATTAGTAAGTTGTCAAATCTAATGTAAAAAAAAAACTTTTTTATAGGAAATAGAAAAGGGCTGTTTTTTGGGTTTTCCCGGAAGTGATTAATTTTTTTTAAGATAAGATAAATCCGTCCAGCCGTTCTCGAGTTTTAGTGAGACTAACTAACAGCAAATCATTTTTATATATATAAGATATATGTCTAAATCTGTATAATGACATCCGTTAAGTTTGTAGCTGAAATAAAGTATAAGTGTTGACTATTTTCGGTGGTAAAATATAATTTGTCACTCTCAGATGTAGGAGTTCGTCCCGGAAGAGTGTACAACTGTACAATACGTCGCGTCCGCTCTAAATATAAACACTTATTAAATGGATTCCTACGAAGCTTTCACTTATTGAGGAAGCTTTTTGGGTGGTATCAAATTTTTGACTAAACATAAACTATAATATATACAGATGCTTAAACTTTGATGTTTTGTTTACACTTTTTATCTTGTTTCGTTGTCCTCGCTACACGCATATATGAAAGATTATGTGATTGGCAAATATATGTAGTTTTAAAATTAAAAATAACAAATAATAGATTAATGAAAAGAATAAAAGAATCTGATTGATAATAATCATTATTGTCGAGGCAATGTCCAAAATAAAGAAGATATTATTAAGAAGTACGAACCTCTATGAAAACTATGAGTTGTTTGTATAGATAAATCCCTACTAACATTATAAATGCGAAAGTAACTCTGTCTGTCTGTCTGTTACGCTTTCACGCCTAAACCACTGAACTGATCTTAATGAAATTTGGTACAGACATAGAGTTGACCTTGAGAAAGAACATAGGATAGTTTTTATCACAGATTTTTGAAAGGTTCTCTTGGAAACGCGATATAACCGAACTCCACGCGGCGAAGCTGCGGACGGAGAGCTAATAATATAAGATTCCATATTATATATATATAGTGTTAATACTATACTCCATCTTACCAACGTTTCACATAAAATAGTTTATCTTTATTTAGTTTAAATTAAAAACATATTTATTTACTTATAACTAATTTAATTATCGTATTATCAAATGTAACTCACCTCTTCTATTGACGAAGACAGGAAACCAGAACTGAAATAGAAGAATACGTTATTACTATTTATAAACCAATTATATTATAAGTTTGTATAGATGTATGTATGTTTGTTCCTCTTTAACGCAAAAACTACTAAACGGAATTTAATGAAATTCTACAATAATGTTGATTAGATATTAGAATAGGATATAGGTTATATATTATATCGTAATTCAAAGTATTTTCTACAGATTTTAATTATAAGAGTTGTATTGTAGATATGTCATTTGAAACAGTAGGTACCTATAGTTTTCGTTGACAATATGTTACCATACCTATTGAATCAATATTCTACATATATATTTTTACTTTTTATATATTTTCATAATAACGAAATACACTAGACGTAATAACAAGCAAAATACATACAAACAGTGATACAAGCAGTCAGTGAAAATTACGAATAAAAATAAATAAATAAATGTAAATTAATTGTTAAACTAAACAGTTTAGTGAAACTAATATTTTCGGATTTACTAAACGATTTTTTATTTTTGAAAAACTAAAAGTAACCGAAACTTCGGGAGTATATAGTTTATAATCAAAAATAAAAAATCGCATAGTAAATCCGAAAATATTAGTTTCATTTTAATGAATATTCGCGAAAATCTTAGATATCTTTATGTAAACAAGTAAGGTTTGACATTAAAACTGGGAATGCGTTGAATGAGTTTAAACGGATACGATCAAACTGGTCGAATCGAGTTATAACTATATAACGGTAAATATTGTTCTCATACTAAGCACCTTGTATATTATATTATAAAAACATACATACCAACATGATAGATTACTTTTATTTCTCTCCATATTTCTTATATGACTCGTATTTTTTTATTAATCTAGATATTTTTGGACGGATTCCGATCTTACTGTTGCCAAAAATTTGAAGATTTTTGATCTTTGAAAAGTTAAATAAATACTTTTTCTTACAATAAGACATATAATTGTTGCTATATATGTAGATATATATTAATTAATTAATTAATATCTATATTTTAAAAAGATGTATATATAATTACGTGCTTAACTATACAATATATACTGTTAAAATATTTTCAATACTACATATTATACGGAACCTGACTAAAAACTAATTAGAATGTATGTATGTATGTTTGTCACACAAAACTTGCTGAACGGATTTTTCTCAATTTTCTCATCTCTTCTGGTCACATTTATTATATAAATATGTTTTAAATGCGAAAACCTTAGTTGATATTAATTTTAACGTTTTTTTATGCATCAGTAAACGTACCATGGGTTTGCTTTGATGACTTAAACAACGTTAGTTTGCAGTGTTTACTAGCATAGTTACGTCAATGGTATTTAAGGAAAAATATAAAATATAGCGTTAGATTTAACGATGAAAACTATAGAAATAATACTAAAATATATAAAAGAAATAAAGATATTAGAAATTAACCGAAACGTCGGGAGTATGTAGTTTAAAACCATAAAAAACGCGTAGAAATCCAAAAATATTAGTTTTATTTAAATAATTCGCGAAAATCTTTGATATTCATATTTTTATTTTCTATATATATTTAATTTATTTTAATAATATATTTATATATTCACAGAATCCAATAAAATGTAGCACTGATAACGACAATTATATTTGAAAAAAAATCACTTAAAATTTTAGTCACAAAGTTTAATAACTGTCGCGGAACGACGAAAACATACACGCTACTAAACATGCACTAGATTGTGAAGACGGAAGTTTGTATTACAGTATATACAGGATGCTCTTGATATTACAATCAAGGGAAAAACACGTTAAAGAACGTTGGAATCATTAAAAATGAACACACTGTATATAGATTAAAATGGAATGAACTTTTGACCTTGAAACCTGACCTATGACCTTTGGTTATCATAATAATGTTTTACTTAATCTTAATGCATGATACATATGAAATTATTATCCGAGCGAGACGTTGTATGGCGAAAATATTTTGTATTGATTTGTTTATAGAGCACAAATGATATTATTGACAAGCTAATATAAACCTTTATATAATAAAATAAGGTTTACTTTAGTTTGATAGTAGTGTTATATGATAATCAATGATTATTTAAAATAAATCACAAAACCCTTGATTGAGAAACACAAAAGTTACATCGAAATCCGTCCATCCGATTGAATATTATGTAAAAATAATAGTATATATCTATACATATATATATAAATCACTATTTCGCGACGCGCTCGTCTGTACCGGCGGTTTCGTTATCACTGATAAGGTAATACGGAGCAGAATGTGTTATCTGTGAGGTTACTACCTAGTATATAAAGATGGTGTATATATATATACAATATACAATCGAATAGGAAATAGATTTTTAAATTACATACATAAATATATATTATATCTCTATATATATATCTGTGTGTGTGTGTGTAAACAGTGCATTAATGAACAATGAAACCCATGTAATATAATCACAACAGATCTTTTAAATCAAACTATACCTAAAAAAAATTGAAGATTTACATTCGATAGAAAGCGTCAGGACTGAAAGCATCGACTTAAATGATTGTTACTATTATCGTACTAATAAACCGACAGTCTGATAGTATGCCTAAATAAAGTTTCATTAAAGTAAATAATGTAACGAAATTATTCAAAATAATATAAATTTCAATTTACCTCTCCTCATATATTGTAGAGCTGGTCATGTTAAAGTCAAAACTGACGTCCTCGTTTCCGAACGTGCTGTCCGCGCTGTCAAACTCTGACGTCAGGGGGGCGGGCGTCACGTTGACAGGTGTCATGCTGACAGCTTCGCTGACAGGCGTCAAGCTGACAGCTGTCAAGCTGACAGGTGACTGACGCGTGTCAGACTTGTGGTCCTTGGCGCGTTGGTCCCATAGCTTCTTGGTTTCGTCTTGTACTCGCTTCTTTAATTCGGATATTTTCTCTCGTTCGTTTTCGATCATTTCACAGCCTTTGGAAAAAACAAAATTATAATATAAACAATATTATATATATATATATATATATATATATATATATATATGAGTAATCTGAAATTAATTTTTGTATTGATAGGTCCATGTATATTAAACATCTGTTATATTATACTGTAAGAAAAATGTTTTAACGCATTATGATAATGTTCTATTATTTAGTCTATTCTATGACGTTACTAATTTATCTGTTAGGGCCTTGCTATCGAGAAAGTTTAGAAATAAAAAACATATAAGGGGGATAGTGCAAATCCGTATAAGTAGCATTGTATAATTCCACGTATCTACATTGGAAGCAGATTATCAGAAGAAAGTTTAAGATGAAATATTTTCTACATTATGTAACGATTTTTGAGGTATTTTTTTCACAATTAGTAATTATTAGCTCTCCGCCCGCGTGGAGTTCGGTTATATCGTGTTTCCAAGAGAACCTTCCAAAAGTCTGGGATAAAAACTATCCTATGTTCTTTCTCAAGGTCAACTCTAGCTCTGTACCAAATTTCATTAAAATCAGTTCAGTGGTTAAGGCGTGAAAGCGTAACAGACAGACAGAGTTACTTTCGCATTTATAATATTAGTAGGGAATACCTAATACTAGTTACACGTTTTGCACTATCCCCGACGATATGTCCAACTAAACCATATATTTTAATAATTATAATTTTATTAAGTGCATGTTTATTTTAACTTATTTTTTTTAAGCTTTCCACTCATGTCGCTATAATTATGTGTTAATGTATTTTTAAAACAAATATTGTGGCTACTACTAAAACGCTTCACATGTTAGCTGTTTTCATTTAATTGTTTTACATGTAGTAGCTACTAGTGGTCCTTAAATGAAATAAATGAAAATACATATATATGTTACAAACCTCTTTCTTCGAGCATTTCAATTCTTTTTCTTTCAATTTCCATAAGACTATCCAAAGTTCTTTTACCAAGTGTATTTAAATCCGTATCACTCGGTAGTATTGGCGCGTCGATAGTGACTTTTGAGATTCTATCAATATCATCTTGGGAAGGAATTTTTAAAGAATCCGTAATTTTTTGGAGATTTGGTTCATCTCCACAACTCTTTCTATGCAATACTTTTATATTTTCAACTTTTAATGTATTTTCTTCTTTCTTATCGGGTGATAGTGATTTTGATTTGTACTTATTGTCTATATTCTTGTTGTTCTTTATATATCTTGTTTCGTCAGGTTTATTCTCTTTGTTCTGTATTTCTTTTCGTTTCAGCGAATCCTTTTTAATGATCTTCCCTAGCGCTGCGAATGTCGGTATTTTTGATGACGAATTGCTTTTTATCGGTACGTTCTTTCGTTTCGAGTTTTTAATACTTACATCTGCTTCTATGTTATCGTTGTAGAACATATTTTCGTTCAGACTTTGCGACATTATGTCTATTTTATCAGGTTTTTTCTTTTTTCGTTTCAGCGAATCAAAGTTTCTTTCCCAAAATCCTTTCTTTTCTTTTAATTTTGGTTCGTCTATATCAGCGACTCGTCTTTCTATATCTACTATCATAGATTGAGACATTTGATCGATGGTAGTGAATTTTTCTTTTAATTGTTTCGTGTGATCGATCAAATCATCATCGTCTGATGTTTGCGGTGAGTAGCCGAATTCCCCCGACTTTGCTCGCGTTTGGTCTGTATAGAAAGCACTATCTGGGGACTGAGTTCGGTCTTCATTTAGTCTGGTAACTATAGGTTTTAATTCCTGCTCTATTATTTGTATTTTCCCAGTTAAATGTTCCACTTGGTTTAATAGTTTAACGTATTCCGCTTGTAATACTTTAGTTTCTTCGACAGCAGACGTAAGGTTTTCGTTGGCTTCAGATTTCAATGTTAGTATTCTAGTTTTTTGGGCATCAATTTTTTTTATCAATAAACTTAATTCGTTCTGTATGTCTTCTCTATTCGAGAGCCTGTAATGAAATATTAATATGAAATTATTTGACATATTACTATGAATTAATGTTATTTTATATCGTAAAACAAAATGTTGCCTAAGCGTAAAATTATTGCGGACAAAATAATAAGTCACTGTTATGTTAATTACTTATAAATTTCTTCTGCTTGGCAATTTCCCAGCTTTAGCCAGGGTCTGCCTTATATGTTGTGAATATTTTTGGCTATTTGTTTTTATTTGGCCGCCTGCCTGACATCAACCCTCTTTTGGGAATCAGCATTAATGTTAATTACTTATAAATAATAGGATGAATCATATTTGGATAAGATTTTTGTATGGAGAATATTTCTTACAATTCTGATTCTTCTTCGAGCTGCGTGAATTCCAAGTCTTCGTATATCCTAGTTTCATTGTCCAATATATCTTGAGCATTCTGAAGTTCTTCTAAGGTTGCCTTGTTCTCTTTCAAATCCATTTCTAACCTGAGTAATTATTAGACTCAATATAATATTTGAATTTAATATGTATGAAAATTTTATAAATATTGTTATATGTAATAATTACACATATTGTAGGCATATATTTTGTGGACCATAGATAATTTTGAATTAAAAAAATATAGTAGAATTGTATTTTAACTATGTTCTTGGATAAATATTGACATAAATACCAAATCCTCAATATATATCAAAATAATAAAATGATATTTACACTAAATTATATACATATATCCTACTAATATAATTGCTAAAGTTTGTGAGTGTGTGTATGTTTGTTGCTTCTTCACGCTCAAACGGCTGAACCGATTTTGATGAAATTTTGTATACAGGAAGCTGACGTCCGGGAATAAGACATAGGCTACTTCACATCCCGGAAATCAAAGTAACAGCGCGGGGCGCAGCTAATACAACAAAAATCATAGTTTTTCGGACTAAAACAGAATATAAAACTCACTTCTCAACTTTCATAGTAGCGATATCAACTCTATCTTTCATTTCGTTCTGTCGAGTTTCTTGTTTTTCCTTCAAAAGTCTTATATCTTCTTCAATCTTCTTAATATTATCTTGTAATTCTGTCTTCTTCTTCTGTTCTATATTAAGTATCGCTATCTCTGAATCGTATTCGCCTTTAATTAAAGCTTTTTCCATTTCCAACTGGAAATAAAATAAAATTTGTAATGCATTAATGTAATAATTAATAATAGTATTTAAAAATACGATTATCAGAACATAGTACACATTTTTTTAAATATTTTTTTGGTCTATATATTTAATAATTAATTGGTCTCATTTATTAGATAGTGCAAATTTGCGTAACTATCATTGGATAATTCCGTATATCTACATTGGAAGCAGATTATCAGAAGAAAGTTTAAGGTAAAATATAGTTTATTATTAACTACTTTTAAGGAATTTTTTTCACAATTAGTGATAATTTTTTAGTGTTTATTTTATCTACCTCTCTAAGTATATCGTCTTCCTGTGTCCGTATATCAGTCATTTTATTCTTCACCTCATGTATCTGCGTCATCAATTTCCGTCTTTCTTCCTTCAAGTTTTCGTATCTAGACTTCAAATCCTCAGCACTCTCATAGAGAACACTATCTATAGAATTCTCTTCTATATCTATAGATTTGAAATTTTCCGTTATATTCTGTATTTGGTCCCTTTTGTTAATATCGTTCTCAAATTCTTCCAATTCTGGTATATCAGCCATTAATTCTTTTTTCACGTCATCGAAGCTTTTGTTTTTGGTCATTTGTTTGTCTTCTTTGTCAATCTTGGAATGTCTTAATTCTATGTCATTTGTGATATCCAAATCATCTATCATTGGTATTTCATCTTCTAAGCTCAATTTTTTTTCTATACCGTTACAGTTACTAGCTGTTTCGTTAAGAACTTCTTCCATTTTACCGTCTTTAGGTGGGAAAATGAAATATTGTGGTGATGTTAGGTTTTTGTGTGCGAAACAAGTTTTTATTCTTGTTCTAGGGCTTTGTGTGTTTGGTGATTTAGGTTTTAGGCCCATGTTATTCTTCAAGTAAACATTTTCATATGGGCTGTTTATCGGTGACGTATTCTGACTGAGTTTCCTTATCATAACCGGGCTAGATAATTCGTTGTTAACATCTTCGTATAGAGGTATACCGATTTCGTCCATACGACCTACATTCTCGTAATTCTCTGTGCTTACAACCGGTGTCATGGGTTCGATTCTCGGCGATTCAAAATTCTCGTAACTAGATACATTTCTTTGGACCTGATTGTTTGTGTTTTTATGACTAGTATCAAACCTAGAAAAAAATAAAATACGTTATATACATAATAATTAAAATACGAATAAAATAATAGTTGTTATAATTGATATCATCATCAGCCTATCAGAGCCCACTGCTGAAAGGCCTCTTCTCACATGGAGAAGGTTTGAGCATTAATCACCACGCTTGCTCAAGACGGGTTGGTGATTTCAAACTTATAATTGTGAAACTACAAGTCCAGGTTTCCTCACGATGTGTTCCTTCACCGTATGTCAGTGGTGTCTAAATACGAGTACTCTTAGAAAGTACATATGATTAATACATTGATATGTTATAATTGATATACTAAAATGAAAATGTTTACTTGCCTATAGTAACCATCGGTTGTTTGCACGAAGTTAGGGTTGTTGACTGTAACACTTCTCGGGAGCGAGCCGTTAGTTATAATCTTATTGTGTGATCTTTTCTCAGTAGGCGTTATTGGCACCCCTGAAAATAAAAGCGTTTCCAACTTAACAAGATAAAAAATAATAACAAACACAATATACTACATATTGGTAATGAAACAGATAACATTGTTTGAGATTCATACTATTTTTTTAATTTTAATTTTGCTCACATAGATAGGTCACTTAAGAAGTACACTTATTTTAGGGCATGAAAAAAAACTATTGTATAATGTCCTATGATATAAAATTTGCAAAGTATATACTTGTAACTACACATAAAATTAAGCATTTAATCAAAATTCAATTGTCATTCATTAAATTATTAGTGTAAATTTGAAACAATCAGTTTCCAAAAGATATAAAAGAATTTGTCACAAAAATATATAGTTAATAATATTTCAACAAAAAGTTACTGAATTATTAATTTTTTATTTATTATTATTTACTTACTGACAGACATTTAATAGCACTTATAATTAATGCAATATAATTATAATAAACACAAATAGTTACATTCTGTGATACGTTTCGATTCTAAGTAATGAGAACACTATTTAAATATATTTTCAACCTAAAAGATATCGCGATTAAAATACATGATCGATAAAATTGTTTGACATGATTATTGGTTATAGCTTACAGCTAATCAAGGTTCATATTAAGTGATAATACGACCTAATTATATTGAGGATTTATAAGATAAACTTATTGTTGAGACTTCAGGATTTTAACTGTATAGAAAATAGTGTTATAACAGCTGTTTTTTTTTTTCATAGATCTTATATATGTATATAAAACTAGCTTTTTTTCGCGATTTCGTCCGCGTGTAAGAAAGTAATAAATACTATAAGCCTGATTAAAATAGATGTTATACGACTAGCAGCGCCATCTATCGTTTGTGTGATGGGACTTTATGCAAAAACACTTTTTATTTGGTGCTTCCAAGTGAGAAAAAGCAATTATCTATTCTATTTATTATTCTAATACAAATAAAAGAATTATATATTTATCTGAAGTAAAAATAGTCAGTTTGTAAAATGGTTTTGTAACAGAATTTTTAAGATTTTCTCCATAGGGCCATTCTTTTAAAATAAAAATCATTTTAAACATTGTGAATTTCATTAATATGAATTACATAAACGTCTTCCAAATAAACTTATTTTCTATTATTATTTCGATTGCTCGCGAGTAGCTCAAACTATAAACGAACTTAGATATTGACAAAAAAAACTTAATATTTTTAGTATAGAAATTTGTAGTAAGGTTTGAATTAAGATTAAATAGAAGTTATATTATTCTCACCAGAAGTTATCTGTTTTTCATACTCGGCACACATATTGAGTATTTCTTCTAAACGCGCTGTTTCAGCCACTTTTTGTTCTTCCTCTTTCACTCTGTCTTGATGAGCCTGGAAATACATTTTTTGATATGTTAATCACGATAGTATCGAAAAATGTATAATGTAATGTTTATTGTGCAAAATAATGTATATGTTATTGAAAATTTAACAGTGTTTTATCATAATGAACAGAATATTATGCATTCTTAGTCCAAAATAGGCTAAATTACTGAGCAAAGTATATTTTTTCTTAATATGCGTTTTGATTTTTTTTTTATTGGCTGCTTTAAGACCATAGAATTTTTATCGGATATATTTAAATTTGTTTATATTTAATATTTAAGTAACAAATAAAATCACTTTTCTATTCAAAATTATTCTTCTAAAAAATGTATCTGTAGAGATATGAACAAATAATATCTTTCTAAATAATGTTATTCGAAACTTAATGTATCGTGTTTTGAAATAAAAAACCATAAAAAGTTTTTTTTTTGTTAACGCTAACATTTCCCTTAAAAGTAAGAAATAAAAGGACTATTAGTTTTATCTATACTTACTGATAAATAAAATTAAATTTTTAATATGTTATTTCAAGTGAAGAGTTTTTCACTTAATGCATATGAGTTTGAATGATAGTTACGTCAAATTTATTTTTTGTCTGACTGTTTGTTCTAGTTGATATGTTAACGGCTGTATTGATTTTGAGAGGACTTTAACTTTCAAGTAGTTAATGTCATAAAAAATAACTGAGGCTTTTAAGCAACTTCAAAAAGTTTGTTTCTGAATATTGGTATTTTAATAAATAGAGCATTAGTAGTAGGTAGTATCTTATTGTTTGTTAGAGGATTTATAGTGTGCGCAAAGCCACCGGAAAAAGATCACTATGAAATAAATTAAAAACTAAGCAAATGACAGAGTAAATAACTTCTTTACTTATATAATTCCTTGAGCAATTATTAGCTTGAGAGCATAGCGACATTGAAATGATAAAATGATATTAACTTAACGAGATTATTATTTTAAGATAAAAAAAATAACGTTTTTATATTGTTTTTGGGTTCAGTTTTTTCTATTATATTTTATGTTATTTGTTGATTTAACATATTTTCTTAACTTTAATGAAATACGTACAAACGTAACAAACCCTTTAAAGTACATATAAATATTTGATACTTTGTTAAAAAAAAAATATACTAATTAAATTGAATGTTTAATTACGTCGCCAAAAAGATTTGTCAGAAAAAAATTTACGTCGATACAAAAAAAGTTTTTTCACTATATCCGAAAATTTAAGTTTTCTTATAGTTTTTTTTATTAACATTTAATAGTTAACTCACCACAGTATTGAACAACCTGTCAATTTTCTTTATAATACCGTTATATATTTGTTTCCTTACATTAATTTCATTGCCTGCATACATATTATTTGTTATTTCTACCACATTTTTGTCATTGCCAACAATTTTTTTTATATCTCCTCTCAAATCCTCGTATGATCGTATTATTTGTTTCTCAAGATCTATTATTTTTTCGTCAATATTCTTTTCGTGGTTCTTCGTCTCTCTTATGTAATGGTTTGTGAGTATCGTATTTATTGTTCTGTAAATTTTTATATCGTTTCTTATATTTTGTACCACGTCTAGTTTTTCGTTTATTATTTTCGTTAATTCCTCTATATTATTCTTATTTGAATGTATTTCGTATGTACGTTTCAATCTCTTCATGGCTGAAGTATTCTTCTTTAAATTCTTGATGAAGTTCTTTATGAGATTGCAAGCGTTTTTTTCTTTTTTCGTCGTCATCGCTAATCCCGATTGACCTGGTCGGTTTTGTTTGTTAATTTTGATGTTATTTTATTTATTGATTACCGATGATTACCAAAAATTACCGAGAAAACGTTCCAATAGCGATAGCAATAACCAGAGTAACAATCACTCGACGTAACCTCTCAACAACTGTACACTTTAATTCTATTGTCGCAACGTTATCAGATAAAATGTAATCTTATATTTAATTATATCTTATTGTTTGATTTCGCGTCTTATTATTATAAATATATTTTATTTAAATAATATAAATTTAACATGATTTTGAAGTGTTTTTTTAACTTTTGATTTTTGGCAATTTCCCAGCTATGGCCAGGGTCTGCCTTACATGTTGTGAATAGTTTTGGCTAATTGTTCTTACGACCGCCCGCCTGCCTGACATCAATCCTCTTTGGGAATGCATTAATCAGTGATGTCTAAATACTCTTAGACAGTACATATGACTCGGAAAAATCACATTGGTACTTGTCAGGATCAAACCCGCGCCCTCATGCATGAGAGGCGGGACTTCAACCACTACACCACCACTGGTTTTGACTAATGAATTACGATATATAAATTTACTTTTTTATTTTATTTGTCATCGATTTAAATAATTAATATTGTTATTTAAATTCAATCAGTTTTTTTGTTTTGTTTGTGTTGTACGTATTTTGTTTCATATAACCAAAAAAATATTTATCTTTTTTCTACTTTTAGTATTTTTGTTTTTAAAGACTGCAATGACGTAACTCATACAAGGAGATCTAAGGAATTCATTTAAATAAAACTATTCATATAATCCTACTAATATTATAATCACGAAAGTTTGTGAGTGTGTGTATGTTTGTTACTTCTTCACGCTCAAACGGCTGGACCGATTTTGATAAAATTTTGTATACAGGAAGCTGACCTCCAGGGATAACACATTGGCTACTTTACATCCCGGAAATCAAAGTAACACCGCGGGGCGCAGCTAGTATATTCTAAACCTACCTTAGCTCTCATATGTTCCGCCTCCAGGCTTCTCTCGTAATGTGTATTCGCGTATACTGGTGAATACTGCGGGTTTCTATCATATGACGGCGAAGACAAACACACAACTTTCCCAATCCCGCACAGCCTCCCGTAATCACTATCCATATTTAGCTGCCTCACATCACTCGATAATTTAGCTTCCTTCCTATCAACATTAATTCTCCCATATATATGATCTTTGGACTCATTATTGATTTTTTTGGGTAATTTGGACGTATCATCGAAATTTCTTAGAATATCATCGATTTTTCGACTCTTGGACATATTTTTTTGGTCCACATTATTCTCATTGAGTACAATAAAATTCTGATCGACCACTTTGTTCATGTACACCGGTATATTTCTTCCTCCTAGCACATCTTTTGCTGGCGTATTAACTGTTAATGAATTTGAACTGAATACTTTTGGTGATATTTCATTATCGTTGGCATAAAAGTGAGTTTTGCTGTTATTTTTCTGTTGTTTAGCGTAGTATTCGAATTTGGACACTTTAGCCATGATGCTGCCGGCTTTTGGTTTTGTTTCTTGGTCTGAATTCGTATCTGAAGTGTCTAGATCTTTATTCTTTCTAGGCACAACTGGAGGTTTGTGTCTAGACATTTCCCGTAATGTAACATCTAGTTCTCGATCTAGCTGTGTCAGAGAGTTGTTTTTGTATATTCTGTGAACATTCTGGTAACATTGGTTGCTTGAGTCGGGATTGTGATTCTCGTAACCTGGAAATTATATGGAAGATTGTTTAAATATTAATTCTGTTATTGTTAAATATTAATTTGAGTATACTCCTGGATGTAGATTTTATATTTGTGTTATTATACAACTCTACCAAAATATAGATTTTGAAATTAGTTTTTATAACGTACAAGATGTAAAAAAATAATAACAATAACAAAAGCTATTTCAAACTTCTAATAAAATTTTTATAAATAATATTTTTTAAGATTCTCGTCACAAATATTTCGTACAAGTTGTCGACCACGATGTCATACACATTTTTTCCCATACTGTGTTCGGAGTGAAATATATTAATAATAGTAACTTCTTGAGTAAAATATAAATATTAGCAGACCGTTAGCGACATCTATTGTTTGTGACATGAATTCATATACAATACAAGCATTAAGGTCACTGTGAAAATTACTTTGAAATGAGTGATATATGTACAATAAAAATGACGTCTTGTTGAGTTCTTAGTGACATCATTGGAGAGTTACATCAAAATCCGTTCAGTATATCTTACATGAAAGATCAAAAAACTTCCATATATCCCAAAAAAACTTTTCTAATTATAATATTACTAGCTGCGCCGGGATGTAAAGTAGCCTATATGTTATTCCTGGACGTCAGCTTCTATATACAAAAATTTTATCAAAAATCGGTTCAGCCGTTTGAGCGTGAAGAAGTAACAAACATACAGACACACACAAACTTTCGCAATTATAATATTAGTAGGTAAAATAAATAATATTACCGGTTGGTAAACATTGTTCGTTGGGTGTGAATTGTATCGGAGCCATTGATACGTGGGATGAAGGAAGAACGGATTTCATGAGCTTCGCTTCCTCAGGGTGATTGAAACGAAGGTAGTTTGATCTACCTATCGTTAGCATTGAACCTGGCAAACATTGAAACACAAATATATTACAGTCTTCTTCTAGCTCGCAATTTCCCAGCTATAGCCAGTCTGCCTTATATCTTGTGAATAGTTTTGGCTTATGTTTTTACGACCGGCCGCCTGCCTGACATCAACCCTCTTTGGGAATGCATTAATCAGTTATGTCTAAATACTTTAGAAAGTACATATGACTCGGATAAATCACATTGATACTTGCCAGGATCGAACCCGCGCCCTCATGCATGAGCGGCGGGCCTTTTAACCAGTAGGCCACCACTGAATATATTATAGTATACAGTACATTTAAAACCAATTAATTATGAAATATTGATGCAAACAGGATTCGAACCTATGATTGTATTACCGTTTTGCAGCCACTTTATATCACAACTCTGACGTCAATAAATTTAACCAGTTGACAAGAATATTTTGGATGTTTTAACATTTGAAATGTATTCGATAAAGAAAAAAAAAATAGTAGTTTGGTCACTGTTTTTTCTCTCCTATTCATACATTATTTAACTTTAAATATTTTAATTAATTCTTCATTTTAATTAACTTTATACATATATAATATCAAACCTTGTGATAGTCTCGTAGGTTTTTCAACTGGTAAGCCATCAAGTAACGTTGTACCGCTTATGGGGTACAACGTGACTACGTCGTGTGAGTTCTCTACGCGACAATGTACGTTGGACACGCCCGTACCTACAACGTAAATGTCGCAGGTCGGATCCGAACCTATGGTTACACGACCTGGAAATGATTATGGTTTAACGTAAATACGTAACTTTATTTTTGTTTGAGTCAGAAAATACATATAATCAAGAGTTTTTATTTATAAATAATTTAGTTAGATTAAACTTTATGTAGTTTTTAGACTACACAATGTTTTATATAAAAAATATCTTTTAAAATCTTCTGAATTCGAAACAATATATTATTTATAATATTAATCCTATTTCATCTGTATTTAGGAAGTGCATGTAGAAAAACATCTCACCAAAAACATGCCTGTTAAAAAGGGGGCCAAGTTCCAATCGGCTAATTGTTTGCCTAAAAAAGGGGTGAAATCCAATCTAATGCCAAGTTTAGATGCACTTTGAAATCGATCATTATCATCTTCATCAACAGCATGCTCCACTGGTAAACATTTGCCATTCCCAAGACTCGCCACCACACCCAGTCCTCTGCCTTCCACATCCAGCCACTACCCGCCACCTTATTCACGTCAACGGTCCATCTGGCCGAAATTCACTTTACCATACACCCAACTTAAAATATGGTATAGTTGTGAAAATACGTAGGTGCTTGGTTAAAAATATCTAAAATTATAATACTTCTCAATTTGAACTTGGCAGGTTTTTGTGCTGTACGTAACACTTAATTAATTGTATCATTAATTTATTATTTAGTTATATAATTATTTATATTTATATAATTTAAATATTATATAATTTAAAAAATTAAATTAACCTGCCAAGTTCAAATTGAGAAGTATTATAATTTTAGAAATTTTTAACCAAGCACCTACGTATTTTCACAACTATACCATATTTTAAGTTGGGTGTATGGTAAAGTGAATTTCGGCCAGATGGACCGTTGACGTGAATAAGGTGGCGGGTAGTGGCTGGATGTGGAAGGCAGAGGACTGGGTGTGGTGGCGAGTCTTGGGAATGGCAAATGTTTACCAGTGGATCATGCTGTTGATGAAGATGATAATGATCGATTTCAAAGTGCATCTAAACTTGGCATTAGATTGGATTTCACCCCTTTTTTAGGCAAACAATTAGCCGATTGGAACTTGGCCCCCTTTTTAACAGGCATGTTTTTGGTGAGATTTCAATACTTTTTTTCAAGAAATCGTACAAACAATCGTACTATACAGCGGTACAATGCATAACTTACAGCATGAAACATACAGCTACCATCTGATGGCATAGGAATTACCCTATGTGGTATATCTCCGCCAACCACCGAAAGATGTACAATTTCCATCGTTGGTAAATGAATAGTAGAAAAGAAATAGAGTGAATTTGTGCTTTTAACACACACAAGTAATCAATCAATAAGCAATATCAAAATTAATCCTTTAGCAAGTCAAATCAGTGATCCATTTAATCGTAATCGTAACCATATATAAGATAACAAGACATAAGTGTAGAAAGAAATAGAAAGAAATGACCATCGATTCCTTATCGACTTTCATTCATATATACTGCAGACAAAACAATATGGCGATTCAATTATACCGCTAGCGCCATCTATCGAAAGTAATTTATAACAATAGAAACCTGATTTTTTAGGTAAGCAATATTTAATTAAGTTATACAGTGTGCATTATGTATACATGACAATATTTTATATCCCTTATATATATATATATATATCAGTTCTTAAGAAGCGCCCCACACTTTTTTCACAATAATATTAATTTAAAAATAAATTAACAAACAATAAATGGTATTTTTGTGAAAAAAAAGCGTGATGAGCTTCATATATCACTTCTTGAGAAGCGCCCCACGCTTTTTTTTCAATAATACCATTTATTGTTTATTTTAAACAATTTAAATTAAATTGATTTCCAAGGTTGTAAAGGTTAAATTAGTTTCCACGCGGTTTCTTTCATAATTGGAGCGTGTTTTTTAGTTTTTTTTAAACTATATTTATTTTTTAGTTTCATTTATCACCGATTGATAGATGTACTCATATTATTAATTATTTATATTTCATTATTATGTATTTTATTGTGCTGAGCTGAGCGCCTATATAAAGGTTTTGATTACCTGTCAGTGAGTCAGTGCCAAAATTAGCTATTTTCACAGGGTCATATTTCAGGATCTACTGAAGCTTTATCTATGAAATTTGGCATACTGCTTTAGGACTAGTATTTGATTACGTAGGTACAATTTTATCTTTGTACTTGCAATAGACACTGAGCTACAGGGGGTCAAAAGTGGGTCGAATTTATTAAAAATTCGATATTTAGAATTGAGGCAACTCACGCTTGACCGATTTCTTAAATTTATTAATTTTTTGTTAATCTACATATAACACACAACCTGTGTACCAAATTTCATAATGCTAAAACAATGGGAAGTGGCCTAGAGGTTTTGATTACCTGTCAGTGAGTCAGTGCCAAAATTAGCTATTTTCACAGGGTCATATTTCAGGATCTACTGAAGCTTTATCTATGAAATTTGGCATACTGCTTTAGTTCTAGTATATGATTACGTAGGTAAAATTTTATCTCTGTACTTGCAATAGGCACTGAGCTACAGGGGGGTCAAAAGTGGGTCGAAACGGTTCGTGTAAATATAGTGCACGGCATGCGCCGGCCTGTGGAACTTGGCCGGCGCACTACCGTGCGCTTAGATATATACATACTAAATTAAGTCCATAAACTATTTTTTCTGTACGTTAGATTATATATAAATTAAACTCGTAAAAGTTAAACGATATGTTTAAGAAGTATATATAAATACGTATAGAATAGAAATAATACAAGACACTGTATGTGTGCGTCCGTATGTGTGTGTGTGAGTGTGTACGTGTGGACATGCGCGTACGTGCGTGTGTGTGTGTGTGTTTGTGTGTGTGTGTGTCTGTATTTCACCTTGTTTGATGGGATGTAGCGTGACAGCCGTGCTGAGTCTCCCGGTGCCGAGGCTCACCAGGTGAGGCGTATTAGTAGCGACCCTGGAAAAATAATGTGAAGAATTAACATAACGTTCAGAAAACCAGTTAATGTTAAAATGAATCCAGTATAAGGTTTAAACTTTAAAGTCAGTGGTGGACTAGTGGTTAAAAGGCCCGCCGCTCGTGCACGAGGGCGCGGGTTCGATACTGGCCCGGGCAAATACCAATGTGATTTTTTCGAGTCATATGTACTTTCTAAGAGTATTTAGACATCACTGGTTAATGCTGATTCCCAAAAGAGGGTTGATGTCAGGCAGACGGTCGGTCGTAAAAAAAAACAAATAGCTAAAACTATTCACAACGTGTAAGGCAGACCCTGGCTAAAGCTGGCAAATTGCCAGGAAGAAGAAGAAGGTTTAAACTTTAAGGAAAATATATCCCAGATACAAAAATACGTGTTCGTGGAATTAAGCAGCGCGTGAAAACATAAAGAAAGTTAAACCATAACATCCGTTTTGAAACACCAAGAGTTATAACTCAGAGATAAGTATATACTAAAATTATGGACATATTGGAATAAAAAAGCAATCTAAATTCATAAACATATGTTCGACAATTGTGAGTATCTATTCGTTTAAATGAAACTAATGTATAGAAAATTAAGATTGTTTGAATTAAAGCAACTTGTATATCTAGATATACAAGTTGCTTTAATTATATAGATTAGATTATATAGATTAGACTAATTTCGGTTTTACCTATCTTAATAAATAGAATATTTGAGTTAGAATACAATGATTTTTGGATGCAAAATACTTTTACATGTGAGAACATCTAAAGAGATAAATAGTGACAAAAAGTCTAGTAGTCTAGACACAGACAGCACAAGTATGGTGCTTCAGATAATGTGTACTGATGTAACTTTTAAACATCGATAGATTAAATTTAACATGAACTATAAATCAAAAGGATTTTTTATACAATATAAGTCTGTTTTGTAATTTCATTTTTTAAATCTCACTAACATAATTACAAAAATAATTCCTACAAAATAATTAATAATAATCACATATGTACATGATAAAATAATTTTTAACCACGTTGAAAAAAAAGGTTGTTCCATTAATATGTGTTTGACAAATTAATGTTTCGTCATAAATGGAAACAAAAATAAATTCTGACATCTGAGTCGCATCTGTGAGACTATTTCAGTGACTGTGGGTAATGCATTTGTTATAATAAAATCAGGATACTAACACTTCATATAAATATATATTTATATGTACATATATATAAATTAATTAAATATACTTTAATTCGATTTGAAAACATTATTTGAAAGAACTATTAATTATATTTTAAGATTTAAGTAACATATTTGTATATAAAAAATATATTTATAAAGAAAATTGATTAAATATAATAGTTTTTATATGTGATGATGAATTTCATAGTATAGTTGTAACAATAAAAAAGTATTGAAAATGGGTTCATTGCAGAATAAAACAGTCTCGTCACACTGAGTTTAGTAACTGTTATGAAATTTTCAGAGGTAGTTTAGAAGATTGATGCTTATTGCTTTATAAGTCTTGACAAATTTTCTAAGACAAATTTACTATGTCTGTTGCTTAAATAAAAAAAGGTTTATGATTTGAAACAATTACGCGAAAAACGAAGTACCTAGCTATTTACGAAGCATTTCACGTTTCCATTCAATAAACGATAGTAATACTATAATATAAATGTATTCAAATTTGGTTAGGTAGAGAGAGGAGCTTGGACAGTGGAGGTGAGCGTTTAACGCGTTAGATAGGGGTCCCTTAAACCTACACTTGGGTCACAAGTCACAGTCACTGTTGAAGCTCCTCTCACTACAACGATGGACCCGACACACGCACCGTGAATACATTGAATGATGAGAGGTTTCGTCTCTCTATATATATTAAACCTACACCTGGGTCACAAGTCCCAGTCACTGTTGAAGCTCCTCTCACTACAACGATGGACCCGACACACGCACCGTGAATACATTGAATGATGAGAGGTTTCGTCTCTCTATATATATTAAACCTACACCTGGGTCACAAGTCCCAGTCACTGTTGAAGCTCCTCTCACTACAACGATGGACCCGACACACGCACCGTGAATACATTGAATGATGAGAGGTTTCGTCTCTCTATATATATTAAACCTACACCTGGGTCGCAAGTCCCAGTCACTGTTGAAGCTCCTCTCACTACAACGATGGACCCGACACACGCACCGTGAATACATTGAATGATGAGAGGTTTCGTCTCTCTATATATATTAAACCTACACCTGGGTTGCAAGTCCCAGTCACTGTTGAAGCTCCTCTCACTACAACGATGGACCCGACACACGCACCGTGAATACATTGAATGATGAGAGGTTTCGTCTCTCTATATATATTAAACCTACACCTGGGTCACAAGTCCCAGTCACTGTTGAAGCTCCTCTCACTACAACGATGGACCCGACACACGCACCGTGAATACATTGAATGATGAGAGGTTTCGTCTCTCTATATACATATATTAAACCTACACCTGGGTTGCAAGTCCCAGTCACTGTTGAAGCTCCTCTCACTACAACGATGGACCCGACACACGCACCGTGAATACATTGAATAATGAGAGGTTTCGTCTCTCTATATATATTAAACCTACACCTGGGTCACAAGTCCCAGTCACTGTTGAAGCTCCTCTCACTACAACGATGGACCCGACACACGCACCGTGAATACATTGAATGATGAGAGGTTTCGTCTCTCTATATATATTAAACCTACACCTGGGTCACAAGTCCCAGTCACTGTTGAAGCTCCTCTCACTACAACGATGGACCCGACACACGCACCGTGAATACATTGAATGATGAGAGGTTTCGTCTCTCTATATATATTAAACCTACACCTGGGTCACAAGTCCCAGTCACTGTTGAAGCTCCTCTCACTACAACGATGGACCCGACACACGCACCGTGAATACATTGAATGATGAGAGGTTTGGTTTCTTAATTAATGATAAACTGCTGACGCTCTGTATGTAGTGTGACGATACTCACTTGTAGTAAGGATATAAGTTTTTCGTTTAAATCATTCTATCCTTGGTTATCCATACTTAAAACCTATAAGATGTTGTCCCGAAAGTTAGTTATTGGTTCCTAATAGATGAAATTAGTAGAACGAATTTTATCATAAAAAATAATCAAACGATTAGACTAGAAGAAATAATATACATATATGATCAATTCAATTCTCCAATTAATGTATAATGCATCTTATTCTACACATTCAAGATATTTAATATGAATTTAAAATTAATTTATGTTTCAATAATTCATTGAGAGAGAAAATATAATTGATTGATTACATGGAACAAATGGTTAAGAATTACGGTATTGTTTTAAAACTTTGATGGATATAATATTTATATTTTGTATCATAATTAATCTTATAAGAAGTAATATCACTTTGTTATGATAAATTTCCTTTTATCTTTATATTCTTCAACCGAGTTAATACATTTCGTCTGTCTTTGAAAAACATTTCTTTGAAGAAATTTTGGATATTTTCGATTTATTTGGATAATTATATTTTCTCTCCAATTGTACACATTAAAATGCTTCTATTACAGTCATCTTTATATGATTTTTAGTTCTGACCTTCGAAGTCAGTCCTGGGAGGTTCTTTGTAAATTTGGTTACCTAGAGAGGAGCTTGGACATTTGAGGTGAACGTTTAACGCATTATATAGGGCCCCTTAAACCTACACCTGGGTCACAAGTCCCAGTCACTGTTGAAGCTCCTCTCACTACAACGATGAACCCGGCACACGCACCGTGAATACATTGAATGATGAGAGGTTTCGTCTCTCTATATATATTAAACCTACACCTGGGTCACAAGTCCCAGTCACTGTTGAAGCTCCTCTCACTACAACGATGAACCCGGCACACGCACCGTGAATACATTGAATGATGAGAGGTTTCGTCTCTCTATATATATTAAACCTACACCTGGGTCACAAGTCCCAGTCACTGTTGAAGCTCCTCTCACTACAACGATGAACCCGGCACACGCACCGTGAATACATTGAATGATGAGAGGTTTCGTCTCTCTATATATATTAAACCTACACCTGGGTCACAAGTCCCAGTCACTGTTGAAGCTCCTCTCACTACAACGATGAACCCGGCACACGCACCGTGAATACATTGAATGATGAGAGGTTTCGTCTCTCTATATATATTAAACCTACACCTGGGTCACAAGTCCCAGTCACTGTTGAAGCTCCTCTCACTACAACGATGAACCCGGCACACGCACCGTGAATACATTGAATGATGAGAGGTTTCGTCTCTCTATATATATTAAACCTACACCTGGGTCACAAGTCCCAGTCACTGTTGAAGCTCCTCTCACTACAACGATGAACCCGGCACACGCACCGTGAATACATTGAATGATGAGAGGTTTCGTCTCTCTATATATATTAAACCTACACCTGGGTCACAAGTCCCAGTCACTGTTGAAGCTCCTCTCACTACAACGATGAACCCGGCACACGCACCGTGAATACATTGAATGATGAGAGGTTTCGTCTCTCTATATATATTAAACCTACACCTGGGTCACAAGTCCCAGTCACTGTTGAAGCTCCTCTCACTACAACGATGAACCCGGCACACGCACCGTGAATACATTGAATGATGAGAGGTTTCGTCTCTCTATATATATTAAACCTACACCTGGGTCACAAGTCCCAGTCACTGTTGAAGCTCCTCTCACTACAACGATGAACCCGGCACACGCACCGTGAATACATTGAATGATGAGAGGTTTCGTCTCTCTATATATATTAAACCTACACCTGGGTCACAAGTCCCAGTCACTGTTGAAGCTCCTCTCACTACAACGATGAACCCGGCACACGCACCGTGAATACATTGAATGATGAGAGGTTTCGTCTCTCTATATATATTAAACCTACACCTGTGTCACAAGTCCCAGTCACTGTTGAAGCTCCTCTCACTACAAC